GCAGATCGGGGAGGGGGAGTGAAGACAAAGATACCCCTTCTTCAGTGACATATCATTGTTTCTTTCCCTCGAGAGCAAATATACACATCAAGGCATATTAGAACAGTTGTTAGATTTTGCTCCTTGTCGTCGCCTTATGTAACCAATAAAACCAGAAATAATGGTTCCATTTAGGGAACAAAGGCACATCCCAGGGTCTGCTCACTCACTGCAGCCACGCTCTCGCACACGGCGCCCACGATGAGTAACAAAAAAGTTTTGCCCTGACTGGGGACTTCCTGATGGCCAAGCCCATGGGACCGTCTCCTTTCCCCGAAGTCACCCTATATTCCAGCGCGTCCTCCCCTACTGAGAGCTGTGGGATGACTTCCTGAGCTGCTTCCACACTGTGAGCCATCACCCTGCCCTCTCATCACCCCCCAAGGCTAACCTACTCTGACGGCTCCTCCTCTCCTGTTTAACCAGATAACTACCACATACACTTACCCACTGTGGGTCTAGTCTTTCTCAGCTCTCATTCAGAGTGTCGAAACATATCAACCAGAAGAGAAAAGGGAGATCATTTCCGTGACATGATTTTATAAAAATAGAATAGATTTTATAAAAAGCAGCAGCAGCCAGGAGTGGTATTTACTCACCTAGTAATCACTCTAATTATAGACAGTTGGGTGTCACGGGCAACCATATTGGGTGTCCGGAAGGTTGCATCAGACAGGATGTCTCATTTCCAGCTTCCTCTGTTAATGCCCTGCACACGCCCTGGTCAGCATCTCTCAATTACAATCTGATTGTTACACAAATAGGAAGTCTTCCCATTCGCTGAACTGCAATTTTATCTTACCGAGGATGTTAGATTTCCAGACCCTGGCTTGGTGCTCCCAGTCTTCTGCTGATGTACATTTCCCTAGACAGAATGGATATTTTGTCTGGGAAAAGATGGACCATAGGAGTTCTAATTGGAGAAAAAAGAGAAAAAGTGAGACTGCTGTTTCCATTTCAGTAAACTGTGTGGTCTCTCCCTACCCGCTCCTCCAATATTCCTTTGCTTCTGTTACTTGGCCTTGAAAACTCTGTTCCAAGAATATGGAAGGATTAACATGCCATAAGCAAGGACTTCCCTGGTGGTCCCGTGGTTAAGACTTGGCCTTTCACGGCAAAGGATGCAGGTTCCATCCCTGGTCAGGGAGCTAAGACCCCACACACCTCACGGCCAAAAAACCAAAACATAAAACAGAAACAATACTGTAACAAATTCAGTAAAGACTTTAAAAATGGTCCACATCAAAGCAAAATTCTTCTAAAAAAAGATGCCATAAGTCAAGAGTTTCCACTCATATATTCAGCACCTCTGAATTTATTTATAATCTTTCCCTTGGTTTTTTATCCAAATGGATTTCTGGGATTTTTTTTTTTTTAATTTGAGGGTGGAACCTCTCAAAGTGGCACCTTCTGTCTCTAACAGAAGTCACAAACTGGCTGTCCACAAACCACATCCAGCCAGCTGATGCATTTAGTTTGGCTCACATACTGTTTTTTAAAAAGAATTAGTTGTCAGCATTTAAAATTTTTACATAAAAATATAGGTTTCTATAAAACAAATATTTCTATATACCTTGACATAAGATACGGATTTCTGTAGTGTCTCAGGGAAAATAAGGGCAGATAAGGCCGCCCTGGGATATACCCAGTTATATCCACGTGGTAACTGGTGGGTGGTAACCCATTAACCTGGTAGGAAATAGACAAGGCAGACCATCCGCAGGAAAACGTGGAGCCGGGAAGGGGAGCGGTTTTCTCCTGTATCCGCATCTCTAGCTCGGAACCTTGATTCTGACGAGCGTCCAGTCTACCTCCCCAACGTGCCTGAAACTGAAAGCATCTTCCTGAACACCTGCCAGACGTCTGCTTGCTGAAGGCAGCAGAGTGGTGGTGGGTGGCGGTTTCGTCACTCAGTCGTGTCCGACTCTTGCGACCCCATGGACTGTAGCTGCCCATGGGATTCTCCAGGCAAGAGTGGAGTGGGTTGCCACGGAATTGGCTTTAAATCTTCCCTCTTCTTTGCAGCTACCCCCACCTCCCCATCAGCCATCGTGCCCTGAGGCTTAGGCTCTCAAAAGTCCCCTGGACAATGAGACAGCACCTAAAATGTGGCTACTGTGAATTGAGATATGCAGGAAGTGAAAAGGACACACAGGATTTGTTTTTAAAGATTGCTAGTTTATTTTTAATATTTATTAATTTATATATTTGGCTGTGCTGAATCTTAGTTGGGATCTAGTTCCCCAACAAGCCTGGGCACCCTGCACTGGGATCTCAGAGTCTTAGCCGCCAGACCACCTGGGAGGTCCCAGAAACATGGGATTTTAAATATTTACGCTAAAAAACAATGACAATCTAAACTGAGTGATCAATAATTTAACTGATTGATCAATAATTTTACATGGGTTACCTACTAAAATGATCTTTTTGACATACTGGGTTAAATTTAATAACATTTAAAGGGTTAAATATTATTAAAACTAACTTGCCCATTTTTCTTTACCTTTTTTAACAAGGTGGGGTTTCAAAAAATTTAAATGGCGTATGTCTCAAAAATTTTAAGTTACATTTGGGGTTCACACCTGTGGCTCTCATTTCTTTCTGTTGGATAGCACTGCTTCAAAATAGCCCTTAGTGCCACATGATGAGTGGCTAATTATATCTACAATGGCAGTCATATTACAATACATAAATGTATGAAATCAACACGTTGTAAACTTTACAACACGTTGTAAACCTGTATAAATTTACACAATGTTTTACGTCAAATATATTATAGGAAAAAACATCTTTTGGGTTTGTCCTATCCTTTCTGAACTTGCCACCAACCTAGAGCCCACTTTCTTACTTCTTTCACCCCTAAAATTTCACCTTAGTCTAGGCTTTTCCTCCTTCTAATCTATTTTGCACACCCTGGTCCAGTTTATCTGCCTAAAACACTGCTTTTATCATGAAACACTCCTGCTCAAAAACTAACACCAGCTCCCATCTCTACTCCAAGTCCAAATTCTTGGTAATAATAAGACTTTAAAAACCTACTGGGCACATTATGTAATTCTCCCAACAACCTCACACCTAGTATGCCATATTTTTTTGTTTTCTAAATAGAACAAAAAGGGCTGCAGCATTTGCCTGAGCTGGGAGGTGAGCGGGAAATCACTTCTGAGCTGAGAGGATGATTCAGTTAAACCATCCAAGCAGCAGCTGCTTCCCTCACAACAATTTACACAACACCTCACATTCGACTAAAGAGCAATCAACATCTGCCCATCTATGAGCTGAGCTATTTTTACATCAGCTGAGAGAAAGAATAATAGCACTGAAAGAAGAAACTGTTATATTTGCATTTCAGAAAAACAAAACCAAAAGTCAACCAGAAAAGCTTAAGAGAAGCAGCTCACTTTGTTCACTGTTCCACAAACTATATATATAGCTTTGTCACATAATAGAAAAATTGAACTACGCCAGTTTGGATGCTGTGGCAAGACAATAAAATACCATTTTGTCTCAAAACGGAAAAGCCTGAATTAAAAATTCATCAGTAATTATATAAACCTAAAACCAGCAGACTTGCTGATTCATAAGCTGTGTTGGTAGTTCGATGGCAACATGTATTTATGTTGGGAAGAGAGACCCTTTGTCAGGACTCACCTCCAATTACCTGATTTTTACTGTGCTGTCTACAAAACTCCATCCCTTTCATTAAACACAGTATGTTACACACATTTTCTTTCGGTTTTTTTTCAGCTACAGATCAGACAGGTTTTGCCAAATAGTGTCTGGCAGAGTCGTTTGGTGTACGGGTCTTGCAATCAGACAACTCCACATTTTACCATTTACTGTGTTACTTCAGACAGAATTGTGTAGCAGTTCTCTGCTTCTGTTACGGCCTCTCTAAATTGGGCATAATCATACTTTCTTCACAAACTTTTATAAGAATTCAACGAGATAAAGCTCATTGTTAACACAGCTCTGGACCTGCGGTAAGAGCTGTAACGGTGGGACAAGGGATGAGACAGCCCCTTATCTGTCCGGCCTCACCACCCTTGCTAGAAACAGTTTCCAAGCAGCTCGAAGACTCCAGAAGAGGGTGGGGCCTTAGCGTCCAACGCGCGCTCCTAAACTCTCAGTTTAATAGCCGGGGCGTCGGGTGGGGTGAGATCGGCGCGCCGGCCCGTCTGTTTCGCCGGGGCCGCGACGCAGACGCCGGACTGGACTCAGCCCGCAGGCCGGGCGCAGCTGCGGGTCGCTCCCTCACCGCGCTCCGCCCCGCCGCCCCCGCAATGAAAACACCACCACGTGGCCTACAGCCGTTGCGTCACTCACCTCCACCCAATGGCAAGCCGTGCCTCGGAGCTGGGGGCGGGTCTCCAGTAGGGCGCGTCCGCCCACCACCCTCACCCGTTGGCTGATTGTGCACCGCGCTGTGGGCTCTCCACCAATGGAGGCCGCCGGCGAGAGGCTCAGTCAGCCGGACCCGCTGGAGGGGCGGGGCTGACGAGGAGGGGTGGGGCGACGCCGGCCGGGGCGGGGTCTGGAGGGACGGGGCGGGGCCTGGCAGGCCCGAGCGGGAAGGAGGCGGCCCGGCCCGGGGGGGACGGAGGTGGGGCCTGACGGGGTGGAGGCGGGGGCTAGCGGGCCGGGGCGGGGCCGAGGCGGGGCCTGGCGGGCCTGGGTGGGCCCGGGCTGGGGTACGGTGGCCCGGGTGGGCGGGTAAGGGGCGGGGTCTCGCGGGGCGGAGGCGGGGCCTGGACGGCCGGGGCGGAGCCTGGCAGACCGGGGAGGGGATGAGGCGGCCAGGCCGGGGCCTGGCAAGGCGGAGCCTGGCGGGGAGGGGCGGGGCCTGGTGGGGAGGGGCGGGGCGAGGCGGGGCCGGGGACCGGCCCGCGGGGCCGGCGCCAGCGGGCTGCTGAGGTGGCTGTCGCCCGCTCGGAGCCGCGGCTTCCCGGGTCGAGCCCCCGATGGAGGCCGAAGGCGCGGATGGCGCCCCTGGCGGGGCGGAGGCGGCGCTCAGCTGCTTCTCCTTCAACCAGGATTGCACGTAAGCCGGGCCGCCTGCCCCGTCGGGAGCTGGGAGAGAAAAGTCGCGATCGGGGGTGTCGTGCAGTCGGCGACTTGGACAGCGGGCGCGGGCCTGTGCCCCGGGGGCCTGGGTGGGACGGTCGGCGCGGCCCGGGCCGGTGCGGGTCCTCGGGCCGCCCCTCCTCCGGCGCGCGGACCCCGTCCTCCTGCGGGCAGGGAGCCAGGAGGGGCCGGCTGGGAGAAGGGGGGAAAAGACCCCAGGGAGGGGGCGGAAGGAGGCTGGGGAACTTGGGGGGCCGGGGAGTGACCAAAGCGGGGGTCTGGGCAGGAGGGGCGGTGGTCAAGACAAAGGAGATGGGAACGGACGGGGAAGTTGCAAGCTGACCCAGGGCGAGATAGCTAGGGCCCAGGAAGATGGGAGTTCAGGAAAAACTTTCCCATTTGTCCTTGAGCATCTCAACGTGGCATCTGGGCAGGGCCAACGACAAGGAGGCAGCCTATCCCCGAAGCCAGTCCAGCCTGGTCCCAACCCAGCCCAGCCTGGGCGCCTGCCTGCGGGCCGGGTTGTCAGGAACCTTCCTATTGCCCCCAGTGTGTCTTCAGGAAGCCCACTCGGCCAGATGGAACTCCTCCTGGGAGTCCAGGCACGCTGTCCGCGGCCCAGGCTGCCCTCCAGGGGAGCGTGACCTCCCTTCTGTTGCTTCTTGAGTAGATTTGAATGTCTCGCCTTGATGTTCACATTCGGACTTTGGCTAGTGAGCTGGGGGTTGCTGGACTGTGTTTGAGACATATGGAGGAGTCGGTCCCTTAGAAACAGAAGGCTGCTCCCTTTCCTCCTTTAGTGGGATTGTTAGACATCCCAGGGACCATATGGAATAACCTCTTTGGAATGTGCCACACAGCATTAGGCAGCAATGACCAGTCCCAGTCCCCCACTTCCTGCTGTACCAGTTTCTGTCGGGTTCCTTTGTGGAGTCGCCTTCAGGCAGGTGTGCTGGCCGTTTGTGCCTGGACTGTGCTAACACTGAACAGTCAGCGGTGTCGTTAAGGTCGTCATGTGCCATAAGCAACCCGGGCCTTCCATGCCCTTTGTCTTCTCTTTAAAAACACCCCATGCCAAACAATATGTCTTTGTTCGAAAAAAACTGTATGTGTAATCGTGTAAGCTGGTGGCCAGACAATTTGGTTCCATGAGTGACTTTCAAGCTTTCCTTGAACACAGCCCACAATAAGAAATACACGTTACAACATTACCCAATATCTATATGCACACACACAGACACATATATAATATATATTGTTGTTTAGTTGCTCAGTGGTGTCCCCTGACTGTTTTTGACCCCATGGACCCACCAGGCTCCATGGAATCACCCAGGCAAGAATACTGGAGTGGGTTGCCATCTCCTTCTCCAATATTATATATATAATATCACTGAAAAGCAGTTCACAGCTGTTTACCCTTCCTATGTGCACTACCTTCTGGAATTTTTTTTTTTAATTTTTTAAGCCACTTATGACTCACTGAATTGGTTTCTCATGGTTTGAGACCAACAGTTTACAAAAATGATGGTCTAGATACCATTCTGATGTTTTGTAAGAAACATTTTGCAAGAGAGGGTGGCTGTTGAAATGCCTGGGTGTTTGCCTTCCCAATTGAACTCAGCTTAAGGAGGAGAGCAGGTTATGGAGAAGAGTTAGTTTGCTTCTTAGCAGGAAGTGTTCTCAATTCTGCTTTGCAGCACTCTTTATTAGATGTTCTTAAGGGTGTTAATTTTTACTCTAGGCGAGTCCCAGCTTTCTATAGCAGTTGGAGAAGCATGTCATTTTCAAAACCATAGGGCGCTCGGGAAGTTAATTTCCGTAGTCTCTACGGTCAGTTCTGTTTTCTTGGATGAAGTCTCTGCTGGACAGCTCTGTCTCACCTATAAATAAACCTTTTTGTCATGGTCAGTTGCTTTGAGCCTTAGAGGGTATGACATTGGATTTTAAAATAAGCACGCCCCTTACCAAATACATTTAGGAGTATCAGCTCTAAGTATAAGCTGAATTTGGGATCCACTATTTCAAGAGAAAGGAGGAATGACAACTAAGCTTTACTGGTCTGCTTCACTCATACTTTCATGCTCGGCCCTGTGCTAGACAATTTGGGTATATTTTTTTCTCATTTCATTTATGATATGTGTTTGTCCCAAATCCCGTTTTCATGAAAGGTGATGAGAAAATTTTTTTTTTTTCTGCAAAAAGGCCTTATGAATGAAATAAAATTTTAGTCTGAATTCCTCGAGTCAGAGTTTTCTGTGACCATTGATTAACCATTTAAAATACAGCAGTGGGACTTCCCTGGTGGTCCAGCAACTAAGACTCAGTGCTTGAAATGCAGGGGGCTCAGTTCGATCCCTGCTCAGGAAACTAGATCCCGCATGCTGCAAATAAAGATCCGCCGTGCCAGAGATCTGGCATGGCGGGAAGAAGCACAACAGTGATCACAGTGCCATTGCCGGTCTTTAAAACTTCCGGAGCAGAGCGTGTGTTTGAAAATGATTTTAAGTTGCCAGATCTTTTGATTAACATTTTAAGACTCTTAATTACGACTTTCCCCCCTTTCTTGAAAACTTTAGAAACGTTGCTTTGCAACTAAATGCACATATGAAAGAAAGTGAAAGCGCAGTCACCGAGTCACGTCAGACTGTTTGCCACCCCATGGACTGTGCCTGCCAGGCTGCTCTGTCCATGGGACATTCCGGGCAAGAATACTGGGGCGGGGTGCCATTCCCTGAAAAATCTTTATAGGGAGAAGCTTTAAAAACAGCGCTGGCTACAGAGTGTGTGTGTTTTGAAGGTTTAAGATGCTGCTGGCCAGCCTTTCCAGGTGCTGCTTGTGGCCATTAGCGCGCTGGTTCTAGAAGCGAAGCCCCAGCTCTGAGCCCGCTGCTGCCGGGGGCTAACCTCTGACCTCCCGCCTCCCCCAGCTTAGCCCCTCAGCAGAAGGAGCCACCTGTTAAGGTGTCATCCCAGGGAAGAACAAATGTTTGGGAAGGAAAAAAAACTTCCCATGAAAATCATATGACCTTCTCTTTTCCAGGCTAGTGAAACGAGAGCCTTGGGCACCTGGACTTGTAGCAGTAAGCTGCTTATTTTAGTTTGTGCCTCCCTGTGAAGGGTGAAGCACACCTTTTCATATAGTTATTTTAAATGAGAGAGTTGGACTCATTTTTAGGTCCACGTAGGACTGGCTCAGCACTAAAGAATCCACCTTCAATGCAGGAGATCTGGGTTCGATCCCTGGTTTGGGAAGATCCCCTGGAGGAGGGCATGGCACCCACTCCGGTCTTCTTGCCTGGAGAGTCCCATGGACAGAGGAGCCTGGCGGGCTACAGTCCATGGGGTCATAAGGAGTCGGAGACAACTTAGCGACTAAGTAAGTAAGTGAAAGTCACTCAGTCGTGTCCGACCCTTTGCGACCCCATGGGCTAGTCCATGGAATTCTCCAGGCCAGAATAATGGAATGGGTAGCCTTTCCCTTTCCCAGGGCATCTTCACAACCCAGGGGTCGAACCCAGGTCTCCTGCATCGCAGGCAGACTCTTCACCAGCTGGGCCACAAGGGAAGCTTAGAGACTAAGCACACACGTATGCACACCCCCCCACACACACGAGGCTGTATGTTTCCCTGTCCCCCTGGGAGCCCAGAGGGACGGCTGTGTCTGTCCGCAGGCAGATCCGGGGTTGGACCCAGCACCGCGTCACTCCCGGGCCGTCCGTGTCTTCACAGGTCCCTCGCTGTCGGAACCAAGGCCGGCTACAAGCTGTTTTCCCTGAGCTCTGTGGAACAGCTGGACCACGTCCACGGAAGCAGTAAGTGTGTGTGTGGCTGTCAGAGAATCACGTCCTCCTGCCGACTTCCAGCCGGGCTCCTGAGCTTTCCATTCCCCTCCAACCCCGTGAGCTGTCACACCTGCAGAGTCAGTACTTTTTCAGGTTTAAACATAAATCACTGCTTCCACTTGCTTAAAGAAAACAAAAAACACCATAAAGCACTAGTGAGATTTGACTATAGCTTAGGTAACATTTTTCTTTTTACATAAGAAAGCCTTTGAAACTGTATTGTTGACACTTTTTCGTATACTTATATGCATGGTCAACAGTTTTTATAATTGTCAAAGCAAAAGATGACTTAATGATGATGATTATTATTTTTTTGCCCTTTCATTGGCACTATAGAATATTGGTCACATTCATTCAGTCCTGGAAGTCACTTCTTGGTTTTAATAAAGCAATACTGCCCCAATCACAGAGTCCATATCAAAGACATTGAAGTACTTCCAGCAAATATTAAAAACAAGTCCAGCTTAGAAACGTGACTCTCCCGTTGTCTCAGGGAAAGTCACCATTTTTGCCAGCATCATAGTGATGAAATCCATCGTGCTGGATTTCCTGGAAAGGAAGTGGCTTGGCACATGAAGTCCTGGGCTCCTAGTTTATTTGTAAGATGTTATCGTCATTATTATAACTTTTGGAGAAGATCATGCTCTGTATCTGCCCTGTGTTGTCCCCCGTGGGGCTTGATGGAGCCCAGAAGAGGCCTGTGTGTGAAAAGTGTTCCCAGGAAGACACAGAGGCCCCCACGGGCGCTCAGAGGGCTTTCTGTTAGCAGTGTACCTCGCTCCTGGGTGCAGGACTCTGCAGGTTGTAACACAGACGTCCAGGTTACTTTCACCAGGAAAGGGACTCAGAGACAGTCGGGGTACCGCAGGACGGGGCGTGGGCCAGAGCTCACTGTGCTCCTGCCCCCATTGTTGAGGTACCTGTACCTCTTAGCAACGGGGACCTGAAGAATTCCGGAAGCAAAGACTTCCAACAGAGCTGTCACTCCTTGGAAACCACTCGCAGAGAAAGAGCAGAATGAGGGAAATCCCTGGTGATCCAGTGGTTAGGACACCCGCTCACAATGCAGGGGCTGCGGGTTCACTCCCTGGTCGGGGAACTAAGATCCCACAGGCCCCACGGCCAAAAAAACAAATAAATACGCCAAATGTACCTGTTTTTTAAAAAAGAGGGACTAACCTGGTGATCCAGTGGTTAAGAATCCACCTTCTAATGCAGAGGATTAGGGTCAGGGAACAAAGATTCCCACAGGCCCGGGGCAACTAAGCCCACGCCCTATACCTAAGACCTCATGCAGCCAAATAAAATCCAAATTTCAAACATTTTTTTAAAAAGGGAGAATAGATTGAGATGGTCTAAACCTCCCAGATGGGGCCTCCCTGGTGGCGATGGTAAAGAATCCACCCGCCAATGCAGGAGACACAGGTTCGACCCCTGGGTCGGGAAGATCCCCTGGAGAAGCGGATGGCTACCCGCTCCAGTACGCTTGCCTGGAGAATCCTACGGACAGAGGCGCCTGGCGGGCTGCAGCCCATGGGGTCACAGAGAGTCAGACAGGAATGAGGGACTACCCAGCAACAACAAACCTCCCAGATAGGTTCCACAGAGCCAGTGGGGCCCCTGACAGGTAGGGAGGGGGTGGAGAGGAGGGGGCTCCAGCGCTGCGGCCTCAGGGGGGCTGGGAGAGCCGGCTTTGTGCTCGGATCACGGTGTCCCCTTGCCTGTCGACCACCTAAAGGGCGTGGGGACTCGGGAAATGGTTAGAGCTTCACTGTGGTTGCAAGAGAAGGAAGTCATTGCAAGTGGGTGCCAAGGGAGGCGAGCCCCGTGGAGGCCAGCAGTGGGCAGGAGGGTGCCCAGGGCAGGGCCCTGACGTCTGCTCTCCCACCCCCACCTCTCCCCCCATCCCGGCCTCCCCCAATCCCTGTTAGGGCCTGACGTCTGCGCCCCCAGCCCTCCCCCTGCACCCCCCACCCCACCCTGGGTAGGGCCTGACGTCTGTGCCCCCCCAGACACACCCCTTCATGGAAAGGGGGTCTGTCGTCTGCTTACCCGGCCTGCCCCCCGGCCCTGCCTTCCCCCGATTAGGGCCTGACGTCTGCGCCCCCCGCCTGCCCCCTCGCCCCCTCCGTGGACGGGGGCTGACGTGTGCACCCCTCGCCCCCTCCGTGGACGGGGCTGACCTCTGTGCCCCCCGCCCCCTCCGTGGACAGGGGCTGACGTCTGCACCCCCCGCCTGCCCCTCGCCCCCTCCGTGGACGGGGCTGACATCTGCGCCCCCGCCCCCTCCGTGGACGGGGCTGATGTCTGCGCCCCCGCCCCCAGATGACACCCCCGACGTGTACATCGTGGAGCGCCTCTTCTCCAGTAGCCTGGTGGTGGTGGTGAGCCACGCAAAGCCGCGCCAGATGAACGTGTACCACTTCAAGAAGGGCACGGAGATCTGCAACTACAGCTACTCCGGCAACATCCTGTCCATCAGGCTGAACCGGCAGGTGGGTGGGGGCCCCCGGGGGCCGGGTGGGCGTCCCTCGGGGTCGCTGGAACCGAGGAGGGGCTTGAGCGCCTCTCATGACCGCAGGCACCTGCTCTGCCGGGTGTAAGCCCCAGCCCCGGGCTGAGTCTGCTCCACGCGCTCCTCCTGGTGGCCAGACCTCCCCGGCCCTCCCGCCTGCAGCACTTTCTTGAACATTGGCCACGGGCTGGGTGAACGCTGTCCCCCGGGTACAGGCTGGGCTCAGAAGCCATCTCTTGAGCCCTGCAGGGGCCTTAAACCAGAGGGGCACGTCTGCCTCGGGCCCAGATGGGGGCAGTCCTTGCAGGCGGGCGGCCATGCCCCGCTGAGTAAGCTCTTGCAGAGAAAGTGTGGCCCTTCCCAGTCAGTGCTGAAGCCTGCGGTGACCAAGGCCTTTCCTGAGGGCCAGGTGACGGGTCCAAGGCAGGAGGAGCCCTTGAAGATGTTTCTGGCCGCATTTTGTTAGGGGCTCCCCGGGTGGCTCAGGTGGTAAAGAATCTGCCTGCACTCCAGGAGACCTGGGTTCAATCCCTGGGCCAGGAAGATCCCCTGGAGAAGGGAATGGCAACCCACTGCAGTACTTTTGCCTGGAGAACCCCATGGACAGAGGAGCCTGGTGGGCTGTAGCCCGAGGGGTTGCAGAGTCAGACAGGACTGAGCCACCAACACTCCCACTTTCTTTGTTGGATGGAGCCTTCGTGTTTTTTCAGATGTGTAATGCACATTCTGTTACAAATTAAAGTTCCTGTTAAATAAGCATTTGGGGTGTTAGTCAAGTCTCCCTTGAATTGTTAGATTTTAAGTCCTATACGAGGGACTTCCCTGGTGGTCCAGTGATTAAGACCACACTTCCAATGCCAGGGGCACAGGTTCAATACCTGGTGGGGGAACAAGGATCTGACATGCTGCAGGAAACGCGCCTCCCTCAAAAAATAAATATAAATTAATAAATCCTATGAGGGCAGCAACTGTACCCATTTTGCTCACTGTTGTAAGACCAGGTAGAAAACACAGTGCCACTTAGAAAGGACAGTGCTCAGTAGAAAAATGCTCCGTGAATATCTGTCTCCCAGCTGCCTAATAAACACGTAAACAAATAAACCCGTTCTTTAGATGACTAGGCAGACCTGTCTGTTCAGTTGAATATCATGTCCGACTCTTTGCGACCCCGTGGACTACAGCCCACCGGGCTCCTCTCTCCATGGAATTTTCCAGGCAAGAGTACCACAGTGGGCTGCCATTTCCTCCTCCAGAAGATCGTCCCTACCCAGGGACTGAACCCAGGTCTCCCGTGTCTCCTCTATTGGCAGGTGCATTCTTTCCCACTAAGCCACCGGGGAAGCCCATTAAACACGAAGACAGGTGAATCAGGTTTTCGTATGGTGAGGCAGACCTGCCTACTCACTTACATGGCCCCAGGACGCTGCAGGCCGTGGGCCTCCCCGAGGTCACTGTTCGCCCCTTGGTGCCTCAACTACTAAGTGCTCAGTTACTGGTTTTCTTCTTTTAACAAATGAGACAACATGCTGTCTCAGGTTTCTGAGAAGGAAGTGGTTGTTTCTCTAGGCTGATCACTCTTCTGACTGACTACCCCCTGAAGTCCGGGGTGGCAGAAGATAGCCTGAGAAACGGAATACGGGAGGTTTGAGTGAGGAGTAGCAGGAGATAAAAAAGATAAACCTGGGTTCCCGGCAAGGGAGAGGAAGGCAGTTTGAGGGCTTTTTGAATTTTTTTTTTATTTGAAGTCTTTTAAGCACAATTCTTGGCTCTGGTGCTGTCTCTGATATCTACTGGTTGCACATTAAATTTCTTTGCAGAGCATTTTATCTTGGCATATGCTGATAGCCAGGGTATAAATCTTAAGACTGTTTAGGCAAATGTCCTGTCAAGATCAGAACCCTTAAATGGTATCCATGGTGTTTATTTGTATAAAGTCTCACTTGCTCACTCTCCAATATTTTCATCAGCAGATGGGGCTGTTAAACTTTGCTGCCAGCCTCTCCTTAATAAAACACTCATTAACTTCAGAGCTCCCCTCCCCCACCTCCTAAAGAACACCCCACGCCTAGAACTTTGCGCTGTCGTGGCCAAGCCAACCAGACCTCCGGCCAAGCAAGGCTCTCTTCCTTTCATGTTTCTTCTGCTAAGAGATGATCTGAAACAAGTCTGGAAAGTCTTCAGGCTTTGCTTTTCTTAAAAGTGTTCAGATTTGGCAGAAACAGACTCACAGACTTAGAGAACGAACTTATGGTTGCCAGGGGGAAGGCTGGGGGGAAAGGATAGTTAGGGAGTTTGGAACGGACCTATAGACATGGCTATGTTTACAGTGGATAACAGACGTGGTCCTACTGCCGAGCGCGCGGCAGCCTGGACGGGAGGGGGTTTGGGGGAGAGTGGACACGTGTGTGTGTGGCTGAGTACCTTTGCTGCCCGCCTGAGGCCATCACAACACTGTTTGTTAACCGACTATAAGTGAGTGTTAGTCGCTCAGTCATGGCCGACTCTTTTGTGACCCCGTGGGCTGTAGCCCGCCAGGCTCCTCTGTCCATGGGATTCTCCAGGCAAGAACCCTGGAGTGGGTTGCCATTCCCTCCTCCAGGGGATCTTCCTGACCCAGGGGTTGAACCTGGGTCACCTGCATTGCAGGCAGATTCTTTATCACTGAGCCACCAGGAAAGCCCACTGGTTACAAAATAAAAAAGTTTTTTTTTCTTAAGATTTTTTTAAAAAGGAAAGCATAAATAAAATTCCTCTTTAACCTGTGTATAGAGAAGAGCTTTTCTAACAAGAGCCAAAATCAATAAAAGACTGATAAATCTGAGAACAACGTTCAGGTTTGGGATGTCACTTTTGGTTTTGGGGGCAGCCGCAGCCTGTTCCCTGCCAGGCCGGGGTCCCGCCCTGCCCCCCGGAGGAAGTGAAAACAGAAGCTGCTTGTCTGTTTCAGCGGGTCCTCAGGCAGTGCAGCTCCTTTCTGGAAAATGGGGGGAAAGTCCAAGATTTGTACATGGAGTTACGAGGAAAGAAAACCCCCATTTTCCTCTAAATCTGGGTAGAAAGGAAGAAAATTGTGTAACTGTGATTTTTCACTTTTAGTGGCTCTTGATCCCCTAACACTAACAGAGGAAGCGTATTCTGTGGCATAAAGACAATAAACCCGATGGATCTGGGTTTGTAAACATCCACACTTCTTTGACCATCTGTTCTGAGGGACCCTCGTTGTCCAGACGGGGAGTGACTGGATGGATGCTTCTGAGAGCAGGCGCTACAAATCATTTCCTAATTATTTAGGATAAAAGGAGCTTTCCTTCTAGAACCTAGGAAAGTAGATGCGAGCCACGGTGACAGGGAGTGAGCTGAGCTGGAGGCCAGCCCCAGGTTCCACCAAGACTGAGTGGTTAATAAGTGAAAGTCGCTCGGCCATGTCTGACTCTCTTAAGTGATGTCCGAGTCTTTCGCAACCCCACGAACTGTAGCCCGCCAGGCTGCTCTGTCCACGGGAGTTTCCAGGCGAGAACACTGGAGTGGGTTGCCATGCTCGCCTCCAGGGGATTTTCCCGACCCAGGGATCGAACCCCAGTCTTCTGCCCTGGCAGGAGGGTTCTTTACCAGCAGAACCACCGGGGAAGCCGGCTGGTTAGTAAGGGGGCATAGAACACTCTAGTTAAGTCATAGGAAGTGCGGGGAAATGGCAAAGCGCTGGGTAAGTCAGGGAATGTCCATTTTACAGAGGAACGCTAATATATGCCATCAACCTGGAGACCCTGTGAGAATCTGCTTTTTCACCTCTGGGCATCCAGCACTGTGGTCGCAGAGCCTCAGCTAAAACTGAGAGAGGTGTTTCAGTATTATTTTCCTGCTTGGTTCAAGTGGCAGCCTCCTGAGAAGTTCTGAGCGGGAAAAGTCTTACTGGAAGAAGAGGTTTTTCTCAGAAGGAGAGCCTGCTGCTTCTCAGAGCAATTTTAGGTCCTTCCTTCCCAAGAGTTGTTCCTGGGATGAACGGATTGGACCGGGAGCTGTGGTCTGCACTCCCAGGGTCCGTGTTAAAAACCCCTGAACCAACGTCTGCAGGCTTTGCCCCCGGGACACTCGGCGATCACTGAGGCCGAAGAAGCAGTGGTCTGGAGGAAGCCGAGGCTGCGGGAGTGGGGAGCAGGGGCTGCCGGAGGCGGGAGTCCCCAGGCTGAAAGCCCCTTCCCAGATGGGAAAGAATCCACCTGCAGTGCAGGAGACACGAGTTCGATCCCTGGGTCAGGAAAATCATCTGGAGGAGAGCATGGCAACCCACTCCCGTATTCTGGCCTGGAGAATCCCGTGGACAGAGGAGCCTGGTGGGCTACAGTCCACGGGGTCTCACAGAGTCAGACACGACTGAGTGACTGAACATGCAAAGTACAAGAAAACAGAAAGAAATCTCAATTTCTACATGAAATTTCCCCAAATCCTGTACTTTGCGCTTCTGTCCAGAGGATGGTGATGGAAACGTGGGCATATGCCCGTAATGTAATCTATAATTGATGGCCACAATTCCTGTGCATTTAGGCTCGGAATCAAGTTAGGACGCACAGGCCAGAGGGCGCGTTCCAAGGACCAGGTGCTTCTCCATCCCCAATAACCGATGGTCTGTGATTTCAGAGGCTGCTGGTCTGCCTGGAGGAGTCCATTTACATTCACAACATCAAGGACATGAAGCTTCTGAAAACCATCCTGGATATTCCCGCAAACCCGACAGGTGAGCCCCTGCCTAGGACGAGGGCCCCGTGTCTCATGCCCCGTGGCTTCTTGCCAGCTGTGTTTTCCAGTTGAAAAGCCCTTCGTGGAGATGTTACGGGCAGGGCTCCCCGAGGCTCATCAGGACAGCAGCCTCCGGATGGTAAAAGCTCCCCTGCAAGGCCGTGACCGTGCCTCACTCAGGAACCCCCAGCAGACCCTGTGAGGCAGCGGAAACCACCAATATAAGATCAGAGGCCAGGAGTCTCCTTTGTCTGTTCCCAGCCTCTCATTGATTTTCTGCGCAAAAACCTGTGAGGTGGAAACTGGGGCTCTGGATCTGATGAATTTCGTGGGTTCAGGAGGGAGATGGGACCGTGTGGCCAACAGGCTCAGGCACATAGACTCTGAGTGTCTTCTGATTTGGGGAACTCGGGTACTGAACATTTCACGTCCTGCCGTCACTTCCCACCCAGCACCGCCGAGGCTGTGAATTTCCTTCCCTCCGTCTGTCCGTGTTCTGCCCGCCCAACTCGTGTCAGAGGCGGCCGGCCGCTTCCTCCAAAGGGTCTGCCCTACGGGGTCCAAGCTAATTTCCTGGCATCACAGCCGTCTGCGCACTGAGCGGCTGAGGGTGGAAATCTCCATAAAAACATCTGCCAGCCGCGGAACGTGGGGACACTGTTGGCCTCACAGGCTTTCGGGGAATATCGGGGGGCAGTCTGCACCCCATGGCAGTGCGGGAAACCGGGTGGGGTGGCTGTGCTCCCCAGGGAGCGCTCTTTAGAAGATGGAACGCAGGTGGGGTCTGTGCACAGAGCACCTGTGAGTCCAGAGACGACTTCTCTCTCTTTTTAAAAACTGGAAAGCGTATCCCATTAATCAACCCAGAGGGAACTGCATTTTATAAACAACTGTTGACTTGCTTGACATATAATACTCTAAATACTGGGGCTTCCCTGGTAGCTTCAGGGGTCAAGAATCCCCCTGCCATTGCAGGAGACGCGGGTTCGAGCCCTGGGTCTGGCAGATCCCCTGGAGAAGGGCATGGCAACCCACTCCAGGATTCTTGCCTGAGAAATCCCGTGGACAGAGCCTGGTGGCTGTAGTCCACGGAGTCTCAAGGAGCTGGACGCATGTTAGCAACTAAACTGCAACAACTGTAAACACCAAGTTAAGAATGACTTAGAATCACAGGACCGCCTTCTCATTCCAGCTGATGATGCCAGCGGTTCTTGAATGAAAAGCAGGCATTTCTTCTCCAGCTGCAGAAGGCTTACAGCCAGACCATTCTGGTGGAATTATAGCTGACCATGATCTGTGAAAATGTGTGTCAAGCCTAAAGTCCCAAAACCACATAAAAACCCAACTCTTTATATATATATATATATATATTTTTTTTTTTTTAAAGATCAAAAGGAAATATACTCAAATATTGAGCACGGTGAAAAGCCTCTGGGTTGTAGAATTATGTGTGCTTTCTTTTCTCTTCCTTTATAATTTCTAGGCTCTACAAATTTTTTTATACATCCCTTTTATCTTGTAAAATAATATCAAAGAAAAGGCACATTTCCCTTCCTGCCAAAGGTTTCATGGAGTACCTGTGACAGAAATGGAAGCCTAGGAGAACAGGAATCCCTAAACCTGTAGTAACATCCAGTTTCTGAGAACTGGACCACACACAACCAAAGGGGCTCCCATTCGGCATTTCCAGGGACCTTCGTGAAGTCTGCAGGGGTCAGCGTGCAGGCTCCTGGGCTAAGTTCAGGTGGGCTGGCCGAGGTGCAGGCCAGAGGCAGGTGGGTCGGTTCGTGGTCACCCAGGGTTACCCACCCTCACCACCATCCTTGTCCCCTTCTTGTCAGAATCCAGCATTTGCTCCCTCTCCATGAGGTGCTACAGAAAGTTACGTGTTAGTTGAAGAAGTTCAAGCTTCCTTCCTTTCTGGGAAGCTTACATTTTTATATAAGACTCTGAAGGTCACCTCACACCTACCAGAATGGCTCTTATCAAAAAGACGAGATAACAGGTGTTGGCGAGGGTGTGAAGAAGGAGGCCTCTTGCACTGTTGGTGGGAGCGTGAATTCGTGCAGCCACTGTGAAGAAGAGTACAGCGCTTCCTCTAAAATCTAAAACTAGAGCTACCTTATGGCTAAGTAATCCCATGTCTGGTTATCTATCCACAGAAAATGGAAACACTACCTCAAAAGGCTGTCTGCAGGGGTATGCTCATAGTAGCGTTATTGACACACAGCCAAGACGTGGGAGCACCTCCGCGTCCATTGGTGGATGAACGCATAAAGAGGTGTGGGGCATGGAGATAATGGAACCTAACCAGCCATGAAAAGGAATGAGGTGTTGCCAGTGAGGTGACATGGATGGACCTTGAGGGCATCCTGCTAAGTGAATTCAGTCAGGCAGAAGAAGGCTAACACCATAAGATCTCACCTATGTGCAGCCTCTTCCAACAAAACACACACACGGATAGACACACTCACAGACATAGACTCAGAGGCACAGGCTGGTGGTTGCCAGGGGCTCCGGAAAGGGGGATGTAAATGGTTGAACAGGGTCAAAAGCTACTACCTTTCAGTTAAAAAGAAATAAATCATGGGAGTATACTCTTCAATGTGGAAACTATAGTTAATAATACTGCACTGCATGTTTGAAAGTTACTAAAAGGGTAGACCTTCAAAGTTCTCATCACAGAAAAAAAACGTTTGTAACTGTGTGTGGTGAAGGATGTTGACTGGACTTACCACGGTGATGACTTTGTAATATACACAAATATCAGATCATCGTGTGGGACTCCTGAAACATGTGATGTTCTGTGTCCATTACATCTCAGTGAAAAAGGGAAACAGACTCTGAAGGGTCTGTCCAAGTCTTTCTGCGCAGAGGCCTCCCAGCCATCCCCGCCAGAGATGGGCCTCGATATTTTGAGTGGAGGAAGTAGGTTAATGAGAACTGGGGTTCTTGGAACAGTAAAGCTAGAAAAAAGGCTGGGTCCCCACAGCTCCCTGCCTCGCTCACTTCAGGGGTGGGAATCAAGCCTGCAAAGGGCAGGGATAACCCAGCCCGAGTTACATGGTGGACAGCAGACCAGGTCTTGAACCCACATCTGCTGCCTCTCTCAGCCAGACGTTCCCAAAACAGCTTCCCAACAGCTTCACTGAGATATAATTCACATGCCACACCATTCACCCATTTAAAGCATACAGATCAGTAGCTTTCATATTCAGAGAACTGTACCCATCACTGCCGTCAGCTTGAGAACGTTCCATCAGTCCCCTCCAGAACCCGTTAACTCGTAGCCATCACCCCCTTGCCCCCAGTCCTAGGCGCCCCAACCATCTTTCTGTCTCCATAGATGTATCTGTTTCTGGCCATTCCCTGTAAGCGGAATTCAGTGCAGTCATACAGTGCCTGGTCTTTGTGAACAGGCTTCTTGCACTCAGCACAGTATCTTCCGGGTTCATCCACGCTGTGCACATCAGGGCTTCATTTCTTGTCACTGTCTGATACTATTTTATTGTAAGAAGATCCCACGTCCTATCTGTTCGTTCATCGGTTGATAGACATTTGGACTGCATCCCCATTTTGACTATGATGAATCACGTTGCTGTGAACATTCGTGTGTAAGTTTCTATGGGCTGTACATTTTAATTTCTCTTGACTGGAAGTTGGGGGTTGTATAATCATTCTATGTTAACCTTCTGAGGAGCTGCCAGGCTGTTTTCCAAAGCCTCACTCTGTGCCATGTTACATTCCCAGCAGCAGTGTACGAGGGTTCCAATTACCTGTCTTTTTGATTAGAGGCGTCCTAGTGGGTGTAAAGTGGCATCTCATCGTGGTTTTGATTAACACTGCTTTTTTTCTTTTTTAAACCATGTGCTCAGAACCCTTCAGCAGTTACCAGCTGCATTTGTAAGATCGTAACTCTTTTCTCTGGTTTGTTGCTCAGGCCCGGGTTCAACCATAGCATCTTCCCTGCTAAGGGTCCCTCTGGGAGGGCACCCACCAGTCAGGCCACCGGTCTCACTGTCTGCCCTCCCCATTTCCGTGAGGCCAGAACACCTTCTGCCTGCTTAGGCTAGCTGTTATGGAAATTGCATTTTGATTGCAAATTCCCCACATAACATGGAGCATTGAGGTTCTCAGAGCAAAACTGGGAAGGTGTGGGTGGTCTCTTCTAAGGCCGGGGCGGGGGGTGGGGGGGCCCTGTCCAGGCAGGCAGGCTGCAGGGAGCCTCGGGAGAGGGCACCGGGTCAGTCCGTCCCTCCCACGGCCACGGGGCAGGTGACAAGGACACAGCGCTGGCCGAGTCCCCGGCAAAGCCGGAGGAGGCAGGACCTTGGTTCCCATTCTTGACGTTTGCTTTCTTTTTTTTTTAAAACTTCTGCTCTTCTGCCCAGCAGATTAGGGTCAGGTCCATTTTAGCCTAATCTAGATTTTCTCTTATGCTTTTATAAGAAACCCACTTAACAGGCTCACGTGTAAGAAAGAATCAGCAGGCTTTTTATGTAAAAAGATGCCTCTCTTGTCTGATCTCCAGGTGCCTGTTCTGGTGATGCTTTTGGTTCTGGGGATTCTCTGAATTCACTTCTGTCACAAACACCTGTGTTCATCGAACCCAATGTTGTGAGAATCCTTTACTCAAATGCTCTTTAAAGGTTCCCAGTAGGAACCTTTGTTTCAGTTGGGAGCTTACGGCCCAGAGGCTGAGTCGGAAGCGAGGCGGGTGTCATGTCAGGGCCCTGGGGCACAATTCAGAAAAGAGCAGGGACGGCATTCTGCCCTCCGATCCCTCAGCTGCGCGTGGACATGGTCGGTGTCCGGTCAGCAGGTCTCCCCTGGGAGCTCCGTTCACGGGCCCTTTGACGGGAAGGGTCACTACGCGTCCGGGAGTGCGGGGCGGCGCCTCGCTCGCCAGCAGGCGGCGCTGCGGCCCTGCCGCGTGCGGACAGCTCCCCGCGGTGCCCGCCCGGGCCCCGCGGACCGAGCTGCTCCCCGCCCGGGCCCGCGGACCCAGCCGCTTACCGAGCTGCTCCCCGCCCGGCCCCGGCGGACCCTGCTCTCCGCCCGACCCCCCGCCCAACCCCCTCCCGGCCCCACGGACCCAGCTGCTCACGGGGCTGCTCTCCCTGCCCGCCCCCGCGCGGGCCCCGCGGACCCAGCCGCTCACGGGGCTCCCTCCTCCAGGTCTGTGCGCGCTCTCCATCAACCATTCCAATTCCTACGTGGCCTATCCTGGGAGCCTGACCACAGGCGAGATTGTGCTCTACGACGGACACTCCCTGGTAAGTCGGCGCGGCCGCGCGGTCAGCTCCGGGTGAGCCCTGGGTGTGGACGGACGGTCACAAGCTCTGCCTCCGTCGCCGTGCGTCCACGTCGCCACGAGGCAGACAGATGGGGGGGAAGCGTGTCCTGCGGGCCGCGGTGCGGCCTGCGACGCCAGCGCCTGTGCTGCCCCTGCCCGCCGAGCTCCACGGAGCCGGGCCCCAGAGGTTCATCAGCCCCATGGCTGGTCACCGTCTCCCCGAGGGCAGGAGAAGGGACAGAAACGCAGCCGCTGTGAAGCACAACCTAGACCCAAACAGCCCGGCTGAGCTACAGGGAGCCCAGCAAAGGGGGGAGGGCGTCTCGGAAGGGAGGAGGAGGGACGGAAGGTGGACGGCACCCCCGCGCCCCGGCATCGACCCCACCATCCCTGTTGCCAACAGAAGGCTGTCTGCACCATCGCTGCCCACGAGGGCACGCTGGCTGCCATCGCCTTCAACTCCTCGGGCTCCAGGCTGGCCAGCGCCTCCGAGAAGGTGAGTGCTGCCCGTGGCCGTGGCCTCGGGGGCCCCCCTCTGCCAGGGGTGCGCAGGGTCCTGGGCACCAAGGAGCTGCTGGAACTCACTTCAGAGGGAGGCCCTGGCCCCTGCCTGTGCCACCTCATCTGTCATCTCTGCAGACCCAGGGCTGCTGTGTGTAGGACGTGAGCCTCTGCCCAGAGCCTCGCGGTCTGACCAAGAACTGGTGTGCTGGTTGTCACAGACAGATGAGGGTTCTGGGAAGCCAGAGCAGATGGATGGAGCATGCCAGCGCCTTGGGCTTGGCTGGGGACGGACCAGGAGAAAGAGGGTGTTCAATTCACCTTCCAAGAACAGCTTACACAGCATGTAGACAGCCCCCTGGGTTTCCTCTCCGGGGTCAGATGCTGCAGACCGATCCAGCAAGCTCCCTTCCAAAGGGGCAGGTCTGAAGGAAGAAACGCCCACCCACTCTCTTCCAGGGCACGGTCATCCGGGTGTTCTCCGTTCCCGATGGGCAGAAGCTCTATGAGTTCCGGAGAGGGGTGAAAAGGTCTGTGTTCACCGTGTGTGTCTGCGTCTGCTCAGCGGCTTCAGGCGTGTCCGACTCTGTGCGACCCTGTGGACTGTAGCCCACCAGGCGCCTCTGTCCATGGCATTCTCCAGGCAACGATACTGGAGTGGGTTGCGATGCCCTCCTCCAGGGGATCTTCCCCACCCAGGGATCGAACCTGAGTCTTATGCATCCTGCATTGGCAGGCGGGTTCTTTACCACTAGCGCCACCTGTGAAGCCCTAAAAACCAGTGTGCTGCCGCCGCTGCTGAATCACTTCAGTCGTGTCTGACCCCGTGTGACCCCGTAGATGGCAGCTCACCAGGCTCCACCATCCCTGGGAGTCTCCAGGCAAGAACACTGGAGTGGGTTGCCATTTCCTTCTCCAAAAAACCAGTGTACATGCCTGAATTTTATAATATGCCTCATTGTTTAACAATGCTGACCATCACCTGAGCCTTCAGAGAGTCAATCCTTTTAAAATTTTCACAGCAAAGATCACTGCTGACAGATCACCATGGTAAATAGAATAATCATGAAAAAGCTTAAAATATGTTAACAATGACCAAAACGTGACCCAGAGACATAGCGAGCACGTGCTGTGGGGAAGACGGCCCCGGAGGACGAGCTCCACGCACAGTCCCACGAGCCCCAGTTTGTAAAAGTTGCAGTGTCTGCAGCCATCACGAAGTGAAGCCCAACGCAACGAGATCTGCATGTGCCCAGACTCCCCGGGATACGTTTAGGTGTCTGTTTGCTCATGAAGCTGACTTCCAGTCAGGAGGCCGCTCCCCTCGCCCGTGCCCGGGCTCACCCTCCCGCTGTGGCTGTGTCTCCAGGTACGTGACCATCAGCTCCCTGGCTTTCAGCATGGACTCGCAATTCCTCTGCGCCTCCAGCAACACGGAGACCGTGCACATCTTCAAGCTGGAGCATCTCGCCAACAGGTAGGACTGGAAACGCTCGGGGAACTAGAGCGGGGCCCACCTGCGGGCCGAGCATCCAGCTCCTCCCATCAGGCCAGCAGCGGTGTTAAACCAGAGATAAAGGGCACAGTAAATGGGATGTGCTTGGGTGCATGCTGCCAAGTTGCTCAGTCGTGTCCGATTCGGTGCGACCCCAGGACTGTAGCCCATCAGGCCCCCTCTGTCCATGGGACTCTCCAGGCCAGAATCCTGGCATGGGTTGCCATGCCCTCCTCCAGGGCATCTTCCCGACCCAGGGCTCAAACCCACACTAGTGCCATCTGGGCTTGAATCACCCCCAAACCGTCCCCTCACCCTTAGTCCATGGAAGAACTGTCTTCCACGAATCCAGGCCCTGGTGCCCAAAAGTCCGGGGACCACTGGATGAGAGGAGTGGGGTCCTGGTCTGACCAGCGCCCCCGACTTCTCTGCTAAGGCCCCGAGCCCGTGTTACTCGCTGTCTCCACCAACGTGGTGAGTGTGTCAGCGGCAGACTCGGGGCGATCCCCAGGGGTCAGGGGCTGCCCTCCTGAGCCCGCAGCCCCGCTCCCGTGAGCAGGAGACCGCAGGTGGGTGAGCTGTTGTGACTGGACTCGTGTCCTCGTCTGCAGACCCTGACATAACAACGGTCGTGTGTGCATCTTAAGTCCCTAGCAGGTTCCCTTTAGTGTTGCGCTGGGCTCAGAGGGAAACCAACTAAGTGTTCACCAGTCTCTCTGTCAATACTGCGATGCTCAGGCCAGCCTTGTGCCAGAGCCTTGCGTGTCGACCTGCTTCGCCGCCCCTGCTGCGCTTTTTAAAACTGAGGATGTGTTGCCGCTCTGCCACCTGCGCCGACTTCCCCACAGCGTCTGCTGGCTTGTGTCTCTGGGTCACATTTTGGTCATCCTGAGCCTATTTCAAATTTTGGCGTTTGTCATGGTGATCTGTCATCAGGGATCTTTGGTGCGAGGATTGCAAAAGGATTTACGACTCGCTGAAGGCTCAGGTGATGGTCAGCATCCTTTAGCAATAAGGCTGCTTTCAATGAAGGCACGGATGCTGTTTTTAGACATCATGCCAGTGCACACTTGCCAGGCTGCAAGATAGTGTGAGCATCACCATTACACAAACGGCAAAAACAAAACACGCGTGTAACACGCTGCGTTGCCAGGACTGGATCTGAGCCCGCAGTAGCTCAGGGTCTGCCTGAGCGGTTCCTCTCTAGCACCTGCCAGAGCCTCCAGCCCCCGAGGCTGACCCTGGGCGGGGAGGGCGGGAGGGAGGGGCAGAGCCTGCGCCAGGCTGCAGCCCGGGGCGTGCGCGTCCCTGTCACAGGCGTCAGGGCACGGAGCAGCAGCTGGCGTCCCCCCGTTCAGCGGCCAGGGCGTCTGAGCTGTGTTTCTCTGGCCGTGTTGGGGCTCGGTGGTGGCACACGGTCGCCTCTCTAGCACCGTCAGTCCTCCCTGCCTACTCCACCGAGGCGCTGAGTCCCGGTGCGCGTCTGTCTGCACCCGACGTGTCCTCCCACCCCCACCTCCCGATTCCGAGTCAGACCAGCCTGGGGGACCCCCAAAGCCCCCAGCTCACTGTAACCCCAGAGACCCCTTTATGAGCGAGCACCTGCCATGCGCCAGCCCCGCGCGGTGTGGCCACTCCAGTGCTCCGAGCAGGTGGCCCGAAAGCCCCACCTCCCGCGGAGGAACGCCCCCCCCGGCCCTGCTCCCCGCAGCTCCCTGGCTGGGCACCCCCACGGCTGGGCGCCCCCACGGACACGCTTACATCTTCTCTCCGCACATCTGTGCTGTGTCCCCCCATCTGTCCCGCATCCCCGCCCCTGTCCGTCCTGCATGCCTCCGTCCATCCCATGTCCCGTGTCCCCATGTCCGTCGCACGTCCCCCCGTGTCCGCGTCCACCCCCCCCAATCCATCCCACAACCTCAGCAGGTCGCCCCGGGCGTGCGTCTGTCCCGCCAGCGCAGGCAGGTGTGAGTCCAGTCCACTGGCAGCTCACGGGGGAGCCGGCCCGTCCCCCACCCTCCCGTCTGGCCGAGACCCCGGGACGGGGTGCAGGTGGCGGCTGCAGGAGGCGCAGCAGGCCCCGTGGACTCCCCCACCTGTGAGCATCCTGGCGCCCACCCAGATGGCTCAGGGGCCGTAACCCGACACCGCGCAGGCCTCTCGCCCGGGGGTTTGCTGCCCACGTAGTCTGGCCTCGAGGTCTGACTCTGAGATCGGCCTGTTCTTTTCTGGGTGAGCCCAGAACAGGCCTGGGTTTGTGTTACAGCGGCCAGGGACCAATTCCGTCTCCCTCTCCCCAGCCCCCTCCCAGCAGCCTAGAATCAGACCCATCCTTCACCTCCTGAATGGAGAGAGGCCACAGCGCCCGGAGCCGCTCAGCAGCCTTGTGAGGGCTCCTCCCCAGAACACACGAGGCCTCGCGCCCTGGGGCACGGCCAGAAGGGCACGTCCCCAGCCACCTGGGCAGGACGTCGCAGCAAGGCACGGGCCCTTCCCGTGCGGAGGCCGCGGGTGTTGGACGGCCGCCGGGTGGGGCTCGCGCTCACCCTCGCTCGCCTTGCTCCCCAGCCGACCCGAGGAGCCCTCGACCTGGACTGGCTACGTGGGGAAGATGTTCCTGGCTGCATCCAACTACCTCCCCACCCAGGTGTCCGACATGATGAACCAGGACAGGGCCTTCGCCACCGGGCGTCTGGGCTTCTCCGGCCACAGGAACATCTGCACACTCGCCACGTATGCCCACCCCCCCAACGCCAGGCAGAAACCCTCACTGGTGTATTTCCCGAAGTGTGGGATGCCCCAAACATGCAAACGTGTTTAAGAGAAAGTCGAGAGAAGGGAGCCAGGAGGGGCAAGGGAAGGCAGACCCGCCCCCCAGCGCCCCAGCTCGCCATCCAAACCCCACACTGTCAGCCAGTTTCCGTCTGGTTGGACTCTTCTCCTAGGGGGCAGCTGCAAGCTGGCATGGAAGTTTCAGCCTCCTCATCCCAGTGATACTGTCTTGAAGACAGTTTCCATTTTTACAGAATTATGTAAAAGGGCTCTAGTTCCAAAGTCCAGGTCCAGACACCTGTGGGGTGGACAGACATCTAAGACCTTTAAGCGTGCCTGTTAAAGCTGAATGTTGGAAAGATTTCTGTGAAACTAGCCCGTGATGCTGGGGGCCAGTTTCCCGCCGTTTCCTTCGCTGTTAAAGGCAGAGGCGGGTCCCACTCGGCCTTCTGTGCAGGGTTCACCCGCGACCTTTTGTCTCATCCACACAGTCACACTCAAAGACAAGGAGCCGTCCTCAAGGGAGATCAGTAGGACACGCAGCAGAAACCCAGGCCGCGGGGCTGGCGGGCCTCGGGCGTGTGGAGGGCGGGACTGGGCGCTGGGGGGGCCGGGGGCGGGGCTCGGCCCCTGGAGACGGGTCTGAGCCCCCCACGTCCGTGGGCACCGCGGCGAGCGTCTTCTCCGCCCTCAGGATCCAGAAGCTGCCGCGGCTCCTGGTCGCGTCGTCCAGTGGGCACCTGTATGTTTACAACCTGGACCCTCAGGACGGAGGAGACTGTGTCCTCATCAAGACCCACAGGTGAAGAGCCCAGTCTTCAGAAGGCCGGGCTTTCAGGACTCACTGTCTGCGTCCCCTGAGCCCAGGGCAGGGACAAGCCTCCTGCTCTGGTTGGCGGCTGGGGTGGGGGGGTGGGGGGGCGGGGGCGGGGGTGGTGTGGTGGGGGGCGGGGTGTGCGGGGAGGGGCAGCCGGGGTGCAGGGGGCAGCGGGGGCCCCAGGGTGTGAGGGGAGGCACCTGGGGTGAGGGGGTGGCGCCCGAGTGCAGGGTGCGGAGGGCCCAGGATGCCGGGGTAGCCCCGGGGTGTGGGGGGCCTGGGGTGCGGGGGCCCCAGGGTGCTAGGGGAGACACCTGGGGTGCGGGGGTGGCGCCCGAATGCAGGGTGCAGGGGGCCTGGGGTGTGCGGGGAGGGGCACCCGGGGTGCGAGGGGGGCCGGGGTGCGGGGGCCCCAGGGTGCTAGGGGAGACACCTGGGGTGTGGGGGTGGCGCCCGAATGCAGGGTGCGGGGGGCCTGGGGTGCGCGGGGAGGGGCACCCGGGGTGCGAGGGGGGCGGGAGTGTGGGGGTGCGGGGACGCGGGGCGCCGGGCTCCTGTCGGCTCGGCAGCACGCATGCCAGGCTCTCCCTGCCAGCCCCTCTTCCCCCGGGGTCCCTGGGACGTGTTTGCTAAACTGAATGGAGATGCTCTCCTGCTGCCTGCGGGCAGGACGCCCCTTGCCTGGGCCCTCTGGGGAGCCGGCCTGCACGTGCCCACCCGGTGCGCACAGGTGGGCGCAGGTTCCAGAACCAGGAATGGGACGTTCACGACTGACCTGGCCGTCAGAGGGCGTGATGGTCCGGGGAACCGACAGGGAGCTAAGCCTGAACCCAGGGCCAGGCCCGGCCTCCCCGGCTCTTCCTTGGGAGGTGTCCTGGGCAAGAAGTGACCGCTCGTCTCTCCCTGCCCCCTCCATCGCTGCCGGTAGCTTGCTTGGCTCAGGAACCAGCGAAGAGAATAAAGAAAACGACCTCAGACCGCCCTTACCTCAGTCTTACGCCGCAACAGTAGCCAGGCCGAGTGCGTCCGCAGCCTCCACCGTGCCAGGTGAGCGGCCCGCGGGGGCCTGGGTGAGTACAGTCCCAGGTGAGCAGCCCGCGGGGGCCTGGGTGAGCACCATGCCAGGTGAGGCGTGGCCCGGGACCGAGGCCTGAGATCAGCCCCCCAGCGTCTCTCACGCCTCACTGCCGCTCTGCAGGTTACTCCGAGGACGGCGGGGCGCTCCGCGGCGAGGTCATTCCCGAACACGAGTTTGCCACGGGACCGGTGTGTCTGGACGACGAGAACGAGTTCCCCCCTGTGAGCACTGGCCGCCCCTAGAGCTCGGTCCCTGCGCCTGAACGGACCCTCCCCTCCGCCCGCGGCGGAGCCTCTGCCCCGTTGCCTGGGCCGCACCACCTAATCCTGCCCGGACACCCGGGAGGCCAGCGGGGTTTAGCCTGCGATGGGCCTCCGCGCCCAGACCAGCCCACCCAGGTGTTAGGACGGCACATTGTCACCCAGGGGGTCTCTCGGCTTCCGGGTTCAGAGACCCAGGCCGCAGTTCCGCTTCTTTAGCTGTGTTCGCTGCTCAAGACCCCTTTAACTAACAGCCGCATGTCAGTGGGGACCTCCCCCACCCCAGGCCCCTCTAGCCCGGCCGCCCGCGATCCTGCTTCGTCCCTGCCAGCAGCGAGGGCCCAAGGCTGGGCTGGGCGCTGGGCATGGCTCCTCACACCTTGGGGTGAGGAGAAGCTTGTCCCCTGGTTCTGATCCTTCAAGCTTCTGTTCGGGGCAGCAGAGACCCCCTCTTGTGAGCTTTAGTTAGAGAGCAGCCTGGACAGTCACCTTGGAATCATCTCGAGATGGAAGCAGTGCTTAGGCCTAAACGTGGGGGCTCCCTGACCATCCCTCCGGAGGCAGAGAGAGGGAGTGACTGGGGCACAGGTCTTGGGGTACGGTGTTTCCTCTCGGTGGTGATTTCGTGTCAGTTGGATTCCGTTCACAAAAGGATGGAGTCTGGGTCTGGCTTTTCTCTTGCCTAGATCTGTAGGACAGTCTGGTAAACAGAGGAGAGAAGGGGGGGGGGCGGGTCCCTGCTGGTCCAGTGGTTAAAACTCCACGCTTTTCATGCAGGGGTGCAGGTGTGATCCCTGGTCAAGGAATTAAGACCTCACATGCCTTGTTACGGCCAAAAAAACCAAAAAGCTGCCATGGGCCCTTCATGCGGGGGCAGAAAGGCCACATTCGTCATTTCCCAAAAGGCTCCACGGGGTGCTGCGTGAGACAAACATTTCTGGCTTTTTATAGATTGTCACACACAGTGCCAACAAGTGAAGTTGACATTTCAGGGGTGGAAAGCAGTCATCGTTAAAACTGTGCATTTAAAAACATTTGTTGGCTCAACGCCTCCCAAGGGGGCAGTTGTTTTGCTTTGGGAGGGTCTCTCACCCCTCCTCACTACAGAGGGAGGTTTTCTGTCCCCCAAAACTTGACATCTGGGTCCTGACGTTGCATCCTCAGGACCCAGAGCAGGTCAGACGCAGTGGCTTATGGGACCTTCCTACTCATCATCAGATCCCACTTCAGCAGTTGTAAAAGTCTGGGGCTGCTCTAAAAGATGATTGGATTGTGAGACTCTCAGCTGTAATCAGAGGAACCTCTTATATTTACAGAACCGGGTTACCTTGGTTATTGGCATTCAGAGGTGATCTCTTGCCAAAGAAAACCTGTATCAAATTAAAGGTACCCCATGTTATTTGGTGTACCTGTTGTTTGATACATCATTTGGAGTAAAAAAAAAAAAAAAAACTGGAGATGCTTAAGAACTAGGGATAAAATGGGATGCCTGTCTGCTTAGGCAATGCCAGGGAGCCTGGGAGGAGCCTGTCGTCCCATCTCCCGCGTCAGGTCCAGATGAGTGGAAGCTGCTTTAAATTGCGTCGGGGCTTCTTATTTACACGAGTGTGAGTGTCCGTCACCGAGAGAGGCCCCCTGGAATCCTCGTCAGGCCCTAGTGATCCTGAAGCAGCCCCTGAAACTGTGCAGTGACAGCGGGAGGGCTCGTGGGGGCCATCGGACCCCAGCCCTGCCCTGAGGCTGCAGGCACAGCTACAGATAACGCGTGCAGGCTTCTCCGTCTCGGCCACGAGGGTCAGAGGCCTGGGATGTTATCACGAGAGGGACTGTCTCAGTCACGCCCTCACTGGCTGTGATCATCCCCGGAGAGTGTAGACATTCCTCTCTCTGCCTGTCCTGAAGTGCCAGGCCCATTACAAACACCGGCCCAGAAGTCTCATCTCTACCCACATTCCTAAAGGCACTCCAGGATCCTGACGAATCTTGGGGTCTCAGCAGCTCATAGACAGGAGCAGAGGTTTGCCCAGATAATCCCAAGGGGTCCCTCTGTCGTCACTGCTGATCTGGAGTGGGTACCATCCGTCTTCCCTCCTTGGGATTTTCTTTGCTCCGAACACAGTGAGAGAAAAGAGGACTGATCATTTCTGGTCCCTGGAAAGATGCTGTATTCGGGAAGGGAGCAGCTTTGGGTCAGTAACAAGTCGACCTTGGCAAGTCTGCTTATTTTCTGACATTCGTCTTACTCTTGGGAGTAGGAGTGAAGGAACTGGGACCAAGGGTGTTTATTGACTTCTTCACAGTGACTTAGCCGTCTGTGTTTACAAGTAAGATGCGCCTTTAAAGAAAATACACATATTCATATCAATATGCATGTATATTCTGGGCTTCCCCGGTGGCTCAGACGGTAAAAAAAATCAGCTTACAGTGCAGGAGACCTGGTTTGATCCCTGGGTTGGAAAGAGCCCCTGGAGGAGGAAATGGCAACCTACTCCAGTATTCCTTCCTGGAGAATCCCATGGACAGAGGAGCCTGGTGGGCTACAGTCTGTGGGGTCACACAGAGTCAGATGACCGAACACTCACACACTCGCAAACATACATATACATATTTTACAAATAGTATTTTCTGCATCTAAAGAAGACAGGTGACCCCTGTGGCCACACACAAGGGTCGGTCTGTGGACTGACGGACGGATGGGGAACCTCCGCCGCCCCGCGTGGACACTGACCCACCGGCATGCCCCCCGCCAGCCTGCCCAGAAAGGGTAAGGCCGCTCTGTTTTGATTTCGGCAGATCACCTCGTGCCGTGGAGATCAGCAGGACAAGGCCGCGCCGTCCTGACAGGCAGCAGGACCGCCCCGGTCAGGAGGTTCTGGAGCAAACGAGGAAGGTGGACGAAAGGCAGGCGGCTGAGTGAGCAGCACTGGGGGTCAGAACCCCCGGGGACGCAGTTCTCGCCGGGCGAGCTCCTCTCAGCTGGGGGGCGCGGGGGCCAGCGTGCACCCACGTCCTGCCCTGGAAAGCGTGTCCCAGCCGCAGCGTCCACGTGAACAAACCGTATCCATCGACAACCCGAATTTTACATTAGCAAAGGCATCCTTTTGAACATGTATGCTGTGTATAAAATGTACCTATAGGAACACCTCTCAGAACTGTATTCCTTGTTATGTGACTCAGAGAGGCTGTTGTCGCGAGGCAAAAGATGTTTGCAGTGATCGGAATAAATCATTTATGACCTTTCAGTCCCATTTAGGACACTAATAATAAAATCATGGCAATACACTTGAGGCTTTAAAATTTTACTTCTTTGTGGCTTGAGGAAGCAGGAAGCATTCCTAAAATCTACAAAGCACAGACATCTGCCTGTCGAAGGGGATGGAGGGAGGTGGGGGAGCTTCTGTGGCTCTTCCGCTCGGAGACAAGCGACCTACGTCAGGTTTGCGTCCACACTGCCCAGCGTCCGTGGGGGCGCTTCCCGGCCCCGGCGCATCTCCGGTCCGCACCCCGCCGCCTGGGCGGAGTCAGCACGGTCGTCAGCTCCCAGGTGGTCTGCGGGCGCAGGAAAGGAGGGGCGGGGCTGCTCCAGACGCCAGAGGGCACGGGCCTCCGCTCAGAGGCCCAGCCAAACGGGCCCATTTCCGCGCTGCTCGGGGTCACGTCCTGTGCCAGGCAGGCATCTTCACGTCTCGCCTGGTCCTCCCTCAGCGTCAGCCTGCGAGTCCGGTTACATGATCGCCCAAGTCCAGAGGCTGGTCTGACTCCTGACTCCAAAGCCCCGGCGTCCTTGCTCACAGCGCGGGTGCGGCGCGCTCTCAAACGGGGACGCAGAGCGCTGGCGGCAAAACAGCCCTGAGCCTGGTCTTCAGAGCTCACGGGACCGCGGGGGGCAGCGACCGCGGCGTCCCGGTGCAGGGCCCGCGGCGTCCCGGTGCAGGGCGCCCCTCACGCGGCCGGGCAGCGGCAGGCGGGGCGGCGGGGGTCGCAGCAGGGACGCGCGGAGGGATCCTGACTGTAATCCGCCAAGGACACGCGGTCCCGGGCGATGTCGTCCAGCGCGCCCGCGAGAGCCGCCGCGACCCTGGGCAGCACCGCCCGGTACTCCGCGCCGCCCTCGGCCAGGGGCGCGGCCTCCGCGAGGTCAGCTTCCAGGTCGAAGATGAGAGGGCGCTCGTGGTGCCGCTCGGGGCCGACGCTCCCGTTGCAGGCTCGAGCTCCGCCTGGGGAGGGGACGGCAGAGACCCCGTCAACCCATCGTCGGCCCCAGGTGTGCAGAGCACCGCGGTGAATTCTGAGTGGTAACTGGTGTGAGCCCTGAACCGGCGTGCAGCGGGGAGACCGGTTCACCCACACTACAAGTCTGAAGGGCTCAGCCGGGAACGCACGTGGAGCTCACGGTGTGAATGCTAAGCTAGACAGGCCTGATAAACACTTCGTTTTCCACTCAAGTCCTTAAATGTTTATGCTAGGAGCGAAGACTATGGCCCAGGATGAAGGCATCTTTACCTACGATTGAAGACAAACTTCAACAGAGCCCACTCCTAACAAAGTATAAAAGCCAGCCTTCTCCAGTTTAAGGAGATTAGCTGATAATTAACAGCCCGTGAGGGGGCTTCCCTGCTGGCTCAGGGTAAAGAATCCCCTTTTCAATGCAGAAGGCTTGGGTTTGATCCCTGGGTGGGGAAGGTTCTCTGGAGACGGTAATGGCAACCCACGCCAGTATTCTTGCTTGGAGAACCCCGTGGGCAGGGAATCCTGGTGGGCTGCAGTCCATGGGGGTCACAAAAGAGAGTCACGCATGACAACGACAAAACAACCACCTAGTTCACCTAAAAATCTCGTCCTCATCACAGGACACACAGGTCTTTCTCTCGTCTAATGTAGCAGGTGTCAAGTCATCTCACTCATGGAAAAGCAGGTTTAAGTCGTTTGGATGCAGAGTCTCAAGGATGGGGGTGAGAGAGGGAATCAGAGCTCCCTCGGGCTGTGTCCTCTTTACCCTGTTCACAATTCTCACCCCGTCTGTTGACGTCTCCCTCTCCCTTTGCTAATTCTCTTGGGGCTTGGGTGGCTGCAGAGAAGAGCAGACCTCCCCTGGGTATCATCATTCCTCTATGGTTGTGATCATTTCCAACAGTCTTGTTACGTCGTATGATCCCAGCATTGTGGTGCCAAGGCCTTTCTGGCTGGGTCCCGACTCCTGAAATTAACTCAGCCTGGAGAAACCATACCTCTTCGATAGAGTAATGTAAGGGCTGTAATCTAGACGCTTCCCAGCTGAAAGCATAACAAATATCTGACTGGTTTGCATTTTAGGTCTCGGAGAGTCGCACATTCTTGTGGCAGTTTTAATATTCCTCAAGTGATGAACTCAAAGAACTGGTTTTGCTTTTGTGACACATTTTCTTTGGGGTCACTTATTCATGCTCAAGGCAAATAATGTTTGTTCTTTATTATATAATTCTTTGGAAAGCTCTGACCTCAAATAACTGAATCAAACTGGAATCCATATCATATCCCATATTTGGAAGGATTTTTTTTGTTTTTGCATGGGGTGGGGAGAGGTCTTGTTTTTCATTCATTACAAAGAAGTGTTAGAGTTCCTACCAGATCCAAGGTTCTGTGTGAAGCACATCAAGAGGACAGAGACTAAAGAGCTGACAGAGCTGAGGTTGTGCTCAGACGCTCAGTCGTGTCCGACTCCTTGCAACCCCATGGACTGTAACCCACAAGGCTCCCAGCAAGAATACTGGAGTGGATTGCCATTTCCTCCTCCAGGGATCTTCCTCACCCAGGGATCAAACCTGTGATTCTTCTGTCTCCTGCATTGGCAGGTGGGTTCTTTACCACTAGCACCACTGGGAGTTGAGTTTAGAGGGCTTAAAACTACTAGGAGAAATAAAAGATGTACTTAAACAACTGGCATATTTGGTAATATGTGGTAAATATCAGAGTTCTCCATATCCTACCGGCTGGGAAGATGAAAAGGCATTCTGCCATCCAGGTGGCCTTAAAAGCTGAGAGGGACTTTAATCCGGAGTCCAAGGAGAGTCGCTGCTCTGGAGAACTAAGGACGGGCTTCCCTGGTCGTCCGCTGGATAAGAACCCGCCTGCCAATGCAGGGGATGCAGGTCTGGCCCCTGGTCCGAGAGGACCCCACATGCGGCAAGGCAGACAAGCCTGTGTCCACAGTTACTGAAGCCCATGCGCCCTGGAGCCCGCGCTCCGGAACAAAAGAGGCCGTCACGGTGAGAAGCCTGGCACCGCAATGAACAGCAGCCCCGCTCGCCGCCGCTGCAAACGACCACGCACGCAGTGAAGACCCAGCACAGCCACAGACAAATAACACTTTTTTAAAAAGAAAAGAAAATACAGAACTTCCCTGGTGGCCCAGTGGTTAAGACTCTGCTTCCACTAAAAGAGATGGGGGTTTGATCCCCCCTTGGGGAACTAAGATCCCACACACCCTGCAGCCAGGAAAAAAAAAAAAATGTGCAGGGACCCAGGATGGAGGGAGTTTGAATTCAGTTGGAAGCAAGAAGCCACTGGAAGGTTTTAGGAACCATCCTGATCTGGTACTAGGTTTCTAAAATACGTTAACATTTAAGACACCCACAGGGTGAGTGAAGAAGTAGGAAACCTCAGTTTGCTAAACAGACCTTCTATAACTATTTTCTGAAACAGTCTCTCGTCAGGTAAATTACACTTTACAGTCTCTCCAAGCCTCCACTGAACATTCAGTCACCCTGGCCCTGCAAGTAGAACCATGGTGTGAAGTGTTTTTTCACGGGAGAAAGTACAGTGTAGACGCGCTGGGCCAGCTCCGAGCTGGCTGGGGAGCTCGGGAAGAGTGGAAAGACCTAGTTTGTGTATTTGTGGGTGTGGCGGGGCTCCTGGGACTGGATTTGGGGAAGACACCGTCAGAGATGCCAACTGTGACCCCAAAGGAGGGCAGCCGCCCTCGCCGTTAGGCCTGAGCGGGGTCTGCGGGGCACCACCCCCGCCCCCGACTCACCAGTGACGTAGAAGGCCTTGTACCGCTCCAGGCGGACGGTCTGAAGCGCTCCGTCCTCTCCGGCAGCCCCGCTGTTGGGGTGGAACAGCACCTGCGGAGGGGGGACAGGGCCTCCTGGTGAAGCGCACGACCCCCTCCCTGGACAGCAGGAGCGTCCTTGTCATGGTGCCTGCTCCCCTCACCGCCGCGCGCACCCCGTCCCCGCCCCCCGCCCCACACACGGCAGCCCCTGGTCCACATGGCCTACTCCCTGGAGCCTAAGCGGGTGGCGCTTCTCCGGGTCAGTTCATCTGAGTGGGTTACAGGTCTGGCTGGATTCCAAGCCCAGAACTAGCTAGGTCATCTGCAGGGTCTGGTGCAAAATGAGGATGGAAGAAACCTTGTCCCCAAATCAAGAATTTCAACTGTCAGCACAAGGAATTATGTTCATTATCCTCTGATAAACCATAATACAAAAGAATATGAAAAATAATGGATACATACGTATAACTGGGTCACTTTGCTATGCAGTAGAAATTAACACAGTGTTGTAACCAACTCTACTTAAGTACTTTTTTGTGATTTCATTTTTATTTCTCTATTTGCTTGCCCTAGGTCTCAGTTGGGGCATGTGGGATCTAGTTCCCCGACCAGGGATGGAACCTGGGCCCCTGCACTGGAGCAGAGTCTAAGCCACTGTTCCACCAGGGGAGTCCCCTAAAATAAAATTTTAAAAATAGCTATTTTATTTTACTTACTACCCTTGGCCCCCAAATTACAGTTTTCAAGTTGCCAGGGCATGCCGGGGGCATGGGTTCGCTACCTGGGGCAGGGTTGTGGGGTGGGGGGGCTAAATCCTACAGGCCACAGGGTATGGTCCCCCGTACCCCGCAAAAAAAGAAGAAAAAAGAATCGCCCTCCAGAATGGAGTTCAGGGTTCCCAAGGGCAAAGTCTGGTAGGAAATAAGTGACCAGCATCCTTGGAAAGCTGGGGGCTTTGGGCTGGAAGCGTGAGACCGCCCTGCTATGAATCATGACCGATACATATCGCTGGAAAGGCGCTTACGTGATTCAAAGTTTCCATGGAGCTAAAAAAAAAATGAGAAACATCTGTTGGAGCAGTAAACAGCTGTCCCCCCCGAGTTTCCCGGCCCTGAGCGGGTGCCAGCGAGGGTAGGCCCCCCCCAACACCTGCCACTTCCGTGCTCTCGTGACAGCGCCCGCGATCCCGGCGGCGTGATGACAGCAGGCCCCGTCCAAACAGGAAGAGGATCATAACTCAGAACCCTCACCCCTTCCAGCCCAAGGAAGCCAAGCCTCTCACCGCAGGAGGCTGTGTTGTTTCCTTCTGGAGAGGACAGGAAGTTGCGGGGGGGGGGGGGGTGCTTGGAAAACCTATTGTCAGCGGAGCTGCAACCTTACTCAGACACCCAGGAGATGGGAGCCCTGGTCTGTGGGTTAGAATCCTTGACACCGTGTGACTTTCAGTAACAGAAACTCCGCAAGGGCAGACAGTCTCAGGCAGGATGTTTACTCATGTTGCCAGGCACCGCTTCCGAAATCCAAGAGGAAGCAGAGTGGCTCACCCTCAGTCCGGTGGATGGGTTTGGAGAACTCTGTACGCGCACTTCTCTCCCCGCTGAGCCTACCGATGGTGGCGTTCTTGTTTATATCAACAAAGGAAGGAGGCTGGCGAATTCACACACGAATCACAGCTGGAGGCATTTCCTCCCCAGGGGACACGCAGTCCGAATTTCAAAGATAACTTTATCTTCTGCAAACATGTGCATCTTCTTGGTGGTTTCTCTTACCTGTTCGCTTTATTCGATCCTATCGCCGTTTTTCAAGCAGGAGGCATCTCCTTACTTTAAGCCCTGGAGGCCGGTGCCTAGGTGACATCCCCAGAAAGCCAGGAGCGGTCCCAGCCCTTCGGGCGGGGTCGCACAGACCCCCTTCTCCAAAAGTGGTCAGCCTTGTGCCGCCGCCCTGGACAGTGTCTCTGACCACTAGGGGCCTCTCTTCTCCCTAAGAGAGGCGATCAGTGGTCCAGAGAGGCAGACTCAACTGCTTCGACGACGCATGGTCTCCAGGGATGGACTGGGCGTTGAGTGACCACACGGCCCCAGGTTGGTCGGGGCAGAGCAGGTGCAGACCTGCTATGGAAGCCTTCCGCTGGCTGACCATTCTGGGCCTTGGACGTGTCAGCCTGGGCCGGGGATAAGACGTGACCAGCCGTGACGCTGCCACCTCCGGCTTCCAGCCGGGAGCCAGGCGAGCCCCGAGTGGGACCTGCGGGCGCCCCTGTGCGCCCCCTCTCCCCGCGCCTCCCTTGCCCGCTGCGGCTACCCTCGGTGCCTGGACACAGACCCCCGCAGACTGCAGGGTGTGCGGGAACGCACAGCATAGTCAGCAGCCATGGTTTTGAACATCACAGACAAGACGGCCCTGGCTGTCCACGAGGTGAGCGGGGAGAAGACCGCTCCGCAGGAGAACCGACAGCCCAGCACCTGCTCTCAGCGCGGGGCCCAAGGGGCGGGGCCAGGATGGGCAGGGCCAGGGTGCAAGCGGCCCGTTGCTTCAGCTCACCAAGTTGCCGCCACCTGTTTGCAAAACGGAAGCACCCAACGGCTGAGGCATTTTGCATAGTTTTGAGATGACAATCTAGGGGTTCCTTCGAGCTTCTTGAAACTGGAATGGTTTTCTAAACCAACCCACAACCCATACCAGAACCTCGTAAGCCCAGAATGTAGTTGAGGGTGAACACTAAGTTGTGTTTATTAAACATACATGTGTATGCTGTGGGAGCGAATGAATATATTCTGAGTATTAAGGAATGTTCCATACAGGTGGAAACGTTTAAATCTAACTTTTAAGGCTGTCATGTGCCACTGGGTGTCCCAGAATGTCTGATGCAGTGCCTTGCACGTGATACGCAGTAAATGGTTACTGAATACGGAAACACACACACGTGCACGTGCGTGTCTGCACACACGTATGTGTGTGCACATCTCTATAATCACCTTGCAGGTGATACGCGGTAAGTGGTTACTGAATACGGAAACACACACACGTGCACGTGCGTGTCTGCACACACGTATGTGTGTGCACATCTCTATAATCACCTTGCAGGTGATACGCGGTAAGTGGTTACTGAATACGGAAACACACACACGTGCACGTGCGTGTCTGCACACACATATGTGTGTGCACATCTCTATAATCACCTTGCAGGTGATACGCGGTAAGTAGTTACTGAATATGGAAACACACGTGCATGTGCATGTCTGCACACACGTATGTGTGTGCACATCTCTATAATCACCTTGCAGGTGATACGCGGTAAGTAGTTACTGAATACGGAAACACACGTGCATGTGCGTGTCTGCACACACGTATGTGTGTGCACATCTCTATAATCACCTTGCAGGTGATACGCAGTAAGTGGTTACTGAATACGGAAACACACACACGTGCACGTGCGTGTCTGCACACATGTATGTGTGTGCACATCTCTATAATCATGCCTATGTTTCCCTCTGGGTCTTCCATCAGCAACTTCAAGAGGATTTACAGTTGTTTCTTCCGGAGCTGACTAGGAGAGACCAAGGTGGGCCTCGGGGTGAGAACCCTCCTGCCACCTCAGGAAGTGAAAGAGACTCAGGTTCAGTCCCTGGGTCGGGAAGATCCCCTGGAGGAGGGCATGGCCGCCCACTCTAGCATTCTTGTCTGGAGAATTCCATGGACAGAGGCCATACTCCACGGGGTAGCAAAGAGTCAGACATGACTGAACCGACTTAGCACACACTCAGAAAACACCAAACTCGGGGCCAGCGGCAAGCGACGCTGACCTCCCAGGTGCCTTTACTAACACTGCAGGAGTCAGGCCTTGGGGGGACCGGGCCGGGCCCACAGGAGACGCACCCTGAAAGTCCCTGCAGAGCTCCTGGTGAGTGGTAAGGTGTGGTTGTTCCCCTTGGGCACGGGGTGCTGTCAGCTCCACTCCAGCTGTGTCTCCACCCATCACACATCCCCACAAAACCCCAAACGGCGCTGTGGCTTTTATCAGGCCGTCCTGCCGGGTCCCTGGGGCCCAGGTTCGTCACCACGCAGCCCTGAAGAGGGGCCCCGTGAGTTTGCGGAAAGAGGCAGCCTGAGAAAGCAGGAGGTCTCCGCCGGCTGTGGACGGAAGTTCCGCGCCCAGGAGCTGGCTCCCACGGGCGCTGGGACCGAGCTGAGGAGCCGACGTCCAAGCTTCCTGGTGACCTCAGTCGTCCTCCTGGACGCTCGGGAGCATCTCTCCGCTGACGCAGTCAGCAACCCCCCAGGGCCACGTACCGCCAGCTCCCAGCCCAGGGGCAGGGACCCTTCAGGAACTGCCCCAGGACATTCGACTCACTTCCCTGTGACCCTCGGGAGGCCAGAAATAGACACTGTGATGTGCGCGTCCCTAACTGGGGGGCCAGGCCCGGATCCCACCCACCCCGTTCCCTCCTCCCACTTCCTCTTCCTTTTGGCAAAAGTAAAACAGAGAGAGACGCCACGAATGCTTCCGGGAACGCCCGAGAGCGGCCTGGGGGCTGGAGGACTGTGTGAGCTGACTACTCCAGGAGCCGGGAGAGGTCAGGGCCCCCCAGGACATCATCCATCCATCCACTCACTCATCCATCCATCCCGTTCAGTCATCCAGTCATTCACTCAGTTCTCATTTATTGCATGCTGGCCGGGTGCCAGACCCCGTGTTAAGCGTATTGAGAATTCCACGATGAGATTCCTGCCCTTGGGGAGCTTTCGTTCTGGCGGGGTCAGTGGAGGGGGGAGGCAGGGAGCCCCATGATACACAACGCAGACACTGCTCACACATCCCATCCAGCTAAAAACTCTGCCTTCTGCCTATGTCATGTCAGAAAATTAAATGATGTTGAGAAAAAAAAGAAAAAACCATTTGTTACAGGGAATAAGTACCCATGGACGCCCGCCCTAGGCCAAACTGCTACATAGAAATCTGGGTGATGAACTGGACTGACTCAGGAAGCAGAGCAGGGAGTGGAAAGAGGCTCCTCTCAAAGGAGGCCCCCTCCCCAGGGTCTGATGCACTGGACCTCCAGCGGCCACTGACGGGCATCTTCTGAGGATGGGCCTACCTGCACAGAAGCAGGCAGACCCCGATGGGGGGCAGCAGGCCAGCCTCCGGACGAGCCTGGAAGGACACGCGCCTCCTCCACTTACCCTGTGTCCCGTCTGCGCCCGGCCGAACAGCACCTGCGAGACGTCCAGACCGTCAAAGCGTCGTCCTCGGGGCAGGGGAGCCCCAGCCAGGGCCAGCACGGTGGGGAAGATGTCCAGCACGCTGCAGGAAGACCAGGCAGAGTCGGCCCCAATGTCCCCAGACCCTCTCCTGGTCATCCTGGGGCAAGACCCACCCGGACAGCCCCCAGCAGGGGCTGTCTCTCTGCCCGGGTTCAGTCCCTGGGTCAGGAAGATCCCCTGGAGAAGGGACTGGCAACCCACTGCAGTGTCCTTGCGTGGAGAATCCCATGGACAGAGGAGCCTGGCTGCTGCAGCCCACGGGGTCGGAAAGAGTCAGACAGGACTGAGAGCAACAGCAAGTGTAGCACGCCGGGAGCTCTGGTCCATCCTCTGTGACGGCCGAGACGGAAAGGCTCTAAAGAGGGGCTCTGCGACAGAGGACGGGTCAACGGACATGAGTTTGAGCAAACTCCGGGAGTTGGTGATGGACAGGGAGGCCTGGCGTGCTGCGGTCCATGGGGTCGCAGAGTAGGACACGACTGAGAGGCTCAACGGAACTGAGCTGATGTGTGTGCATAACTTTCACTTTGCCCTACAGCAGAAACGGACACATTCGACTCCAATAAAAATTAATTTTTACAAATAAATGAAAAGAGAACTATGGGGCTCTACCTGTCACCGCCTGGGCCGCCACCGCCCGCCGAGCGGGAGCAGCGTGTGACCAGCATCTGCAGGGGAATGCTCACTTCATTTCCCTCCCTGGGTCTCACTTGTGCTTAGAATGCGGTCACGGGTGACAGGTCCCGTCCCCTTTCATTCAGCCTGTTTATTCCTTTTACAAACTAGTCCATGTTTGGAGGCAGGAGGGGAGGTGCTCGGTCGTGTCGGACTCTTTCCGACCCCGTGGACTGTAGCCCACCAGGCTCCTCTGTCCATGGGGTTTCCCAGGCAAGAATGCTGGAGCGGGTTGCCATTTCCTGCTCCAGAAGATCTTCCTGACTCAGGAATGGAGCCCACCCAAGGTCCGGCCCCGTGAGGCTGGACATCCCTGGGAGGGGGTCTGGAGGGGAGCCTCACTCCCCAGGAAGGGGTCTCAGGAGGGACCCGGCGGGCCATCCGCTCCGCTCCCCCGGCCCAGGGCTCCGGCCACAGCAGAGGCTCCCCCATGACTCGGAATAGGGGTCTCTGCTCTCGCTTTGGCCTCCACAGCCCACGGGGCCGGCAGCTTATCTCCTGCGACGCTCCTTCCAGGAGCTGGCACCCACACGCGTGCAGAGGCAGGAAGGGCGGCAGGCCCTCGTGGAGCACGGAGCAGCCCAGAAGCAGGTCCAGAGTCGGGGCCGGTCGGGGGGGGAGGGCGGGATTGGGGGAGGGGTGGGGGGAGGAGGCAGAGGGCACCCCAAACACGCGTGCAGAGGCAGGAAGGGCAGCAGGCCCTCGTGGAGCACGGAGCAGCCCAGAAGCAGGTCCAGAGTCGGGGCCGGTCGGGGGGGGAGGGCGGGATTGGGGGAGGGGTGGGGGGAGGAGGCAGAGGGCACCCCAAACACGCGTGCAGAGGCAGGAAGGGCAGCAGGCCCTTGTGGAACACGGAGCAGCCCAGAAGCTGGTCCAGAGTCGGGGGCGGTCGGGGGGGGGAGGGCGGGATTGGGGGAGGGGTGGGGGGAGGAGGCAGAGGGCACCCCAAAGACGCGTGCAGAGGCAGGAAGGGCAGCAGGCCCTTGTGGAGCACGGAGCAGCCCAGAAGCTGGTCCAGAGTCGGGGGGGTGGGGGGAGGGAGGGGATGCGGGGGGAGGCTGCTTCCTAGAAGTGAGGACACGACCTCGGGGCAGGTGTGATCTGCAGGCAGGAAGTGAGAAGTGGGGGGCTCTGGCGGGTCGGTTTGGGTGCAGAGGCCTGAACTCTGGGTCTGGAGTGAGGCAGGGGCTGGCAGAAGCCCCTCTGAACTGTGAAGAAGCGGGAACCAGCCCAGGGCGTGGGGAGCACGCTCTTCAGCCTCTCTCAGTTGCCATCCTTCCCGCGTGGGATTCGCTCGAGTTACCCCCGGGGGAATCTAAGTGCCCCCCTTCTTGGCCCGGGTCCCGTGGAGGAGGCTGGAGAGGCTGCAGCTCCCCCAGCACCCCCAGGTCCCCCCCGGAGACCAGCAGTTTCATCAGCACCTTCCAGGGAGCAGAGCGCGCCCAGAACATCAGGAAAACCCGACACCAAAGCCCGCACATCGGTGACCGAAGAGTGTAGCCCGGAGCGGGGTCGTCAGGACCACCCGTCCCCCCAGAGCCTGCTGCCAGACACAGCAATGGGGACATGGTCTTGAAAGGGGAGGCATGGCTGGGCCTTGCCAGGGAGGGTGGCGCCTAGCCCATGGGACCCCCTCAAGGGCACTGCCTGCTTGTAGCTCCTTCCAGACCCTCTGCCTCGAGACAGCCGCACCCCCTGCACGCAGCGGCCTGCCTTTCTGATCTGGGAGAGAGCCGTGCCCCCTCGCCCAGGGGACTATCCACTTTCCTAGCAAAACAGACCTTTAGCTGTTTTCCACATGAGGTTATTTCACGTCCTTCCTGCCCCGATCGTCACTGTGGAGTTGGCCCAGGAGCCCTCACGAGAGTGGTCCTCGGTTCTAGACAGAGATGGGGCTCCCAGCTCAGGTGCGAGCAGACCCATCCCTTTCTGCACACAACCCAGGGCGTCGCACTAGAGCTCTGACTCAACCGGCATGAGTCTCCTCCCAGGGGGGACTCATGGAGCTGCCAGGGGACATTCCAGTCGTCACAACTGGGGCTGGGGGAGCCGCCGGCATCTAGAGACCAGGGATTCTAGCAAACATCCTCAAACGCCTGGGACACCTTCCACCATAGAAAATGGTCCGGCCCAAAACGTCAGCAGCGCCAAGGTCGAGAAACCCCGATTCAGGGCTTTAGGGTCAGACCACGGGCCCTTCCGGCATGTGCTGCCAAGCCCCGCCCTTCCGAAGGGACATCAGCTCCAAAACAGCAGGAGCTTTCGGTCTGCTGCTGCTAAGTCACGTCAGTCCTGTCCGACTCTGGCGACCCCACAGATGGCAGCCCCTCAGGCTCCTCTGTTCCAGGGATTCTCCAGGCAAGAACACCGGAGTGGGCTGCCATTTCCTTCTCCATCGGTCTGATGAGCCTGTCCCAACATCCGGTCCCTGGAGCCATGCCTGATCCACACTGGACACAACGATCCATCTTCAGTGAAGAATTTTATGATTTGGTTTTGGGCATGGGGGATCCTAGCTCCCCAACCAGGGATCGAGCCTGCACCGCCTGCACTGGAATGCAAAGGCTTAGCCACTGGTCGGCCAGGGAGGTCCCCAAGGTGGGCTTCCTTGGGACACTCGGCAGCGAGCCCCTCAGTCAGCTGTCACCTCTGAAGCCTGAAACAATCAGCTCACAGATGCCGCTGCATCGTGGCGCCGTGACTGACGGAAGGCACAGACGCCGTTCACAACTGACAGCAGCGTGCTTGGCTGCTGGTGACGTCACCCGCGAGGTGGCCGAGTTCCTTGCGCACGTCCAGCCCGGCACGTGAACCCCTGGCCTGACTGCAGCGAGTCGGGCCCAGAAAAAGCAGCCAGCCTGACGTCACAAACTCCAGCCCGAGTCGTTGTTCACACCTGCTGGTCACCCCCCTCCCCGACGGTACTGGGCTGACCGGGGGCTCCTGGGGGCCCAGAGGCTGCGAGGGGCAGTGCCTGGGCACCCGCTGCGCTGGCATCACAGCTGGTTGCCGTCTGTCCCCCCGGCTTCAGTCCCCCCACCCCATCCCCCCCCAGGACGCGGGAGGGCTCCAGTGAGACGTGCCCTCCTCCTCTAGCCCAGGGCCCAACTGGTTGACAGCGAAGGACCTTTGGAACTAGAAAATTAGTCTTTAACCAGAACAAAGCCTCTGAGCGTGTGAGCAAGCACCTGGGCGCCCCTGCCCACGGGTACGGGGCAGACCACGAGGAGGACGCCCCCCCAGTTAGGAGTCACGGCTGCGTGGTGTTGCGTTCAGGACGTTCACCAGGGCCGAGCCCTGTGCCCAGGACACGGCCTCCGGGTCGGCCTCGATAAGGAGATCAGCGTGATCTGAGATGTGATCACGTTGACAGTTGTCCTGCGAAGAAAGCAGATGCTTCTCTGTAGAAGCTTCTTAGGGAGAGGCAGGAAGAAGGTCCTCAGCCAAGGATTCAGCCTCTCCTCCCCAGCCAGAGGGCCCCTCCTTCCCTCTGCTCTCCGGGGCACGTGAATGCCCAGAGCCCTGTCTCAGGGCCATCTGTTCTGAGCGACCCCACCTCGGACAGCTGCCCTACCCCAGGCGGGGAATCACTCGTGTTCAGTGATCTGTCCTCCCCGCTCCCCACAGCCAGCTGGCGTGCGTGCACGCTAAGTCCCTTCAGTCGTGCCCGACTCTTTGTGGCCCCGTGGACCTTGGCCTGCCAGGCTCCTCTGCCCATGGGATTCTCCAGGCAAGAATGCTGGAGTGGGTTGCCATGCCCTTCCCCTGACCCAGGGTTGGAACCCGGGTCTCCTGCATTGCAGGCAGATTCTTTCTCATCTGAGCCACCAGGGAAGCTTAGCCCAAGCGGTGATGATGCTCCTGCAGACACCACTGTGAGCAGTGTTGACGGCCCTGCAGCCCACCCGGCGCCCTCTTCCCAGAGACGGTCTCCCGGAGGAGGGCTTGCAGAGCCCCCCGTGCTCCTGCCGTAAGGAGCTCACAGGCTGGCCTGCAGGCAGCTCCGCATGGCTGCGGTCTGAGGCTGGGAAGGCCCTGTGGACGCCTGCCCAGAGTCGGCGAGAGGGAGGTCCCCAGTCACCCGAGCACACGCCTTCTCCTTGCATCTCAAGGAAACTGCCGGGGGGGGGGGGGGGTCATACCTCAGCAGAGCTGCGCTGGTGACGTTGACGGGGACCCTGCCGGGCCAGTAAGCCAGGGCCGGGACGCGGTGCCCCCCTTCCCAAGTGGTCTGCTTGGCGGGACTTCCTCCTGCAAGGCAAGGAGGCAATCGGTTCTCTGGGAGGAGCAGTCCTTCCTGTCAGGGATGCTCTGAGAGCTCCCAGTAATTCCAGCAAAGGCCCGACTTCCCTTGGTAATCAGCCATCTTTATTCACCTAGTTAATCCCTTTCAGTGTGTGTGTGTGTTCAGTCGCTTAGTCGCGTCCAACTCTTGCAACCCCATGGACTGTAGCCTGCCAAGCTACTCGGTCCACGGGATTCTCCAGGCAAGAACACTGGAGTGGGTTGCCATTTCCTTCTCCAGGGGGACCTTCCCGACCCAGGGATCAAACCCACTGTCTCCTGCATTGGCAGGCAGATCCTTTACTCACTGAGCCACCTGGAAAGTCCAATCTCCTTCAATACGTGCTTTTATTTTACTGGATAAAGGTGTAAACTGCTGCCTCTGTCCCTCGTCATGGAATCACGTCCCCTAATTCCCTCACTCCACTGATGACCGTCAGCTTGCCTGGCCTCTTCACTGACTGGCTTCCTGAGGACCTGCACACCATGACCCGGCAAACAGCCTGCACACTCAGACACAGTAGGCCTTCAACAAACACCTGTCAGATAAACGGATGAATGAACGTGTCTTCCTACAGGTCATGTTGAGGATGGGAAATAAAATCATTTGACTAAAGGCAGAAAATCCCCCCAGCTATTTGATCTGGCATAGATTCTGTTGTATTTTCCCTTTGCCTCACTTCCCCCGCCACCCGCCGCTTTTGTCTGCCTTTATTTTTGAATGAATGAGTTGTTCCGATGTTGTGGAGACGGCATTCATAATAGCTCCGACCTCTTACCTCTCTTGGGGAGGTAAGAACAATCTATTTGCAATCTACGAATTTCCACTGGGTAATTAAGGGAATTCTTTATGTAACTACCAAGTCAAAAGTGACCAGCAGTGTAACGGTGACCAGCGGGCTGGAAGGGATGAGGTCATGCCTTATGGAAACATCCTGAATACACGTTGCGTTGAATTAACCATGACCATCCCCACCACTCCCACACACGCCCCGACTTCAGCCCAGCTGAGCCAGGAATTCCACACAGTTAGCGTGTCAGAGGCCTTCCAAGGCGAGGCTGTGTGTGCCTCACACAGGCCGCGGTCATGCAACGGCCTTATGTTTGGCTGGCGTGAACAGGGATGGGGGGAGAAGACCAGGCTGCCGGCATTCTGCAGCGCCCACCCCGCAGCGAAGGCAACCTTTGAAGTCCCTGGCCCAGCTCGAAACACCGGAAATGCCCAGCATTCTTGGAATTTTCTCATAACCAGTTCTGGAGTCCCCCCAAGTGTTGAAGTAAGAAATAAAACACCCACCAACTCGCGTCCGTGTGGACGGTTCCTGTGTAGGGGTGTGGGGCTCTTGGAACCAAGTGGGCCTGGTGGGGAACTCTGTGGCCTGGCCCGGGACGTCTCGAGCACCTGGTTGCCATCCAGAGTCCTGCTGCCCAGAAGGACCCAGAGCCCCCTCCCATTATTCACGCACATGGAGCAGAGAATCCGGCGCTGCTGGGGCATAAATCACACTCCCACGTGGCTGCAGAATGCATGACTTATGCCTCTGCTCCGGGCCAAGAGCAGGGTGGGAGCATCGCACGTGCGGGAGCCCTGCACACATTCATCCCCCACCCACAAGGGGCGTTTCCAGGGACGCTTGGGGAATAGGTGGGTGAGAACATGGAGTCCATTTATTTGCAAGTCCATGGAACACAGTATTCCGATGAACTTGCTTAGCCCCAGAAGCTAAGGAAAAGCGAAGGCTTCGATTCCAAGAAACCAGTCAGTGATTCTGCGGGTCAACCAGAAGGCCCAAACTGGGGGTGTGTACAGTGATGGGACTATGGGCACCAGAGTCAGCACTGGAGTTGCATCTCTGCCTCCAAGATGTTTCCAGAGGGTACACTGGCCCCTGGGCTTCCCAGGTAGCACTAGTGGTAAAGAACCCTCCTGCCAATGCAAGAGATGCAAGAGACATGGTTTCGGTTCCTGGGTGGGGAAGATCCCTGGGCGGAGGGTATGGCAACCGTCTCCAGTATTCTTGCCTGGAGAATCCCATGGACTGAGGAGCCTGGCTACAGTGCATGGGGCAGCAAAGAGTCAGACTCAACAGCACACACACACACAGGCTGTAATTAGTAAATCTGCTAACTGGTCCTCGCCACTAGGGGTTCTGCTCATTTGCCATAATCTTCTGTATTGTTCTTTTTCAGATGATTAACTTCCCTTATTCTTTTTCAGAGAAAAATATGTCGATGTGTTTGCCTTATTTCAGCAAAGAGTTGAAAGCTGGAGAGGTGAGGAGGGATTTGGCCAGTTATGAAACATGTACAGGTCAACAGAGTGGACAGCCACCTGCAAAGATTAGGAATTGGTGGAAAGAGAGGAGAAGGCTGGCTGAGAGAAGCCTTTTGGTGTGGACACTTGAGGGGGGTGGGGGGCAACCCCCCATCTATGTTTTGAAGACTGGCCGGCTGACACCTGTCTGTGCCCTGGCTTCTGGCTTTACCAGAAAGACACATTGATATATTCCAGCCATGCCCACAAGCCTTGTACTTGAAAGGAGTTTATCTCAAGAGCCCAGAGTGCGGGTAAGCAATTATAAATATATATATGTATTTATATACACACACACACCCCACATCTTCTCGCTCCAAATTCCAGTATCCAGTATCTCGTCAGCGTTGCTAGGGTGGACCGACTTTGAAAGGTCCGGCTGGCACTGCTGGTGGGCCCCCGGGGCTGATGCCTGATAGCCAAGCATCTGATGATGAGAAACACCTGGCGCTGTGTGCTGGGCTTTATCCGCACCAGCAAGTACGGAAACCCACGGTAGCCAGCCCCGGCCCCCTGACATTCTTCAGCGCCACCTGCTCCTGCTAACGGGCCCTCAGGTTGCGTTTAACATGGGAGTAGTGGCACCAGTGTTAAAGGAGCTGCCTGCCGATGCAGGAGACGTAAGAGGTGTGGGTTCTGTCCCCGGGTCGGGAAGATCCCCTGGAGGCGGGCCTGGCAACCCACTCCAGGGTCCTTGCCTGGAGAATCCCATGGACAGAGGAGCCTGGCGGGCTAGAGTCCATGGGGTCGCACAGAGCTGGAGATGACTGAAGCGACTTAGCAGACACACACTAGTAACAATTTCTCCAGTTAACTGAGCCTCTTCCAAGCACCAAGTTAAGTGCACCCCTGAACTCTCCCATAATCCTTAGGGCACCTTTGTGACCTGAGCACTGTTAGTCTTCATTTTTCAGATGCAGAAGTTGAAGCTCAGAGAGGTTAAGTCATTTGCCCAAAGTCACACAGCGAGGAAACAGTCAAGTCAGGATTTGAGTCCAAGGCTGACTACATGGCTGGCACCCTCAGTCATTAAGAACTTCTAGGACCTTCTGGGACTGTGATTCCCATCCCCATATGCAGACTCAAGTCACTAGGGGAGCTTTGAAGAAATACTCATGCAAACGTCCATTTCCCAAAAATTATGAGTTAATTGACCTGAGCTGGGGTCCAGACACCAGGAAAGGTCTGTAAAGCTCTCCTGGTGAGTTCACGTAGAGCGCGCCAGTTCCAGGGCAGTAAGAGAGGGGACACGATACATCTCGAAACTAAACATAGCGTGTGTCTCTAATGACAGGTTTTATGTGGCCTGCGCCTTTAGGCCCCAGAGAACAAAGGTGACCTACGTTACAGTGAGTAAGAACAACAGTTGAGTCCAGCCCGTAAAGTAACATGTGCAGTTTTTAATTTCAAAAGCTCTTTGTTCATGGACAGCAACCTTCATCCTTGGACCAGTCGCAGTGGCATATCTAAAGCATCCGTCGAATTTGGCTTTCTGCTGAGAGACCACGTTCGACGGCCAGGAGAACGCATTTCGATTCACTTGTGGTTAGTTATGACTCTAATTAAGGCCAAACCTCTTAGTTAAAGCAATAAATATTTAGCCTCAGCAACCAAAACATAAACAGAAGCATGATTCATGAGTGGCTTACTTCCTCCTCCCTGGCTGTTCAAGAAGAGACCGTTCCATGATGCATGGAGGAAGCACCACCTCGGTCCGCGTTCAGACACACGGGCGGGTCCCAGAGAGGGGCCCTCCCAATGCCACGGCCCCCTGAGTCAGAAGGGCAGGGCTGCTCACACAGAGGCTGGCAAGCCTCTCAGCACATGGAGCCACGAAGGACCCCTGGAGATGCTGGTTTTGTAAGTCTCGGGCGGGGCTGTCATTCCAGGCCTCTCTGACAGCAGTCTCTGGGGACCAGAGGCTGAGAAACAGCAGTAGGTTAACGGGAGAAGGCCTTCTCATTGAGGCCTCGGGCGGTACGCAGGATCTGAACACCCCCAGCAGGGATCTCCCACGGCCCCTGCATCGCAAGTGCAGAGTCTTAACCGCTGGACCACCAGGGATGCCAGGCAGAAATCTTAACGTCCCTCTGTCTCCTCCTCCTCAGGCGTGAAGGGGGAAAGTGACTGTACTGGTCTCACGGGACGCTGGAAAGCGGACGTCAGACCATGTATATAAAGCTCTGAGCAAGGCCCTCGGGCACCGTGCCTGCCACGGGAGTGCCCAACAAACGCAAGCCAGAAAAAAGCCAAACAAAACAAAGGCGCGACAAAACCCCCTGCAGACAGAAGCCAGCAGAAGCTGCGTCCTGGCAGCCCGGGCACTGGGTTCAGGCCTCTGACAGCGTGCTCTGGTGCGCGGCGGACTTTGCTTTTAAACTGCATCTGAATGTCGTTGGACAGGGGCCGTCTGTCCCACCGGCCGAATCCCTAGTCCTGTCCACAACGGGCGAAAACAAGCTGTGTTCGCTTAAGCTACCTGCGTGGACCCTCGAGCCGCTCATATGAGTGTCTCAGGGCAGAAGAACGCGCCTGTTCTGAGCAGCCTGCATTCTGTAAACTCCTAAAGAAGGAGGCTTCGTTTCTAAATATGAATACGTGCCTTTGCCAAGGATGCCCGGAGCTCACACACTAGTTTTCTAGAAACACACGGCAGCCAGGCCTCTGGTGGGGCCAAGGACTCCAGCTGGCCCGGGGTGGCCGTGAGTGGGGTGGGGGCGTTCTGAGCCTGGTGGTCAGTGGCCCATAGGGGACATCACTTGACTCCCACTGGTCCCATCAGCAGACCCTGCTCCCAGCAGGGCCGGCTGCCAGCATCCTCCCCACCCCACACCCCCTCTCTGCACCCCCGTACTCCCTCTGACCCTTGTCCACCCCTGGCACCCCCTCTGACCCCTGTCCGCCCCCTCTGACCCCTGACCACCCCCCACATCCCCTCTCACCCCTGCCCGCCTCCCCGCCCCCCCACGGGACAGACAGCCCAGGAGGCAGAGCCAGCTTCCCAGTGGGAAAGGTTATGTAAGCACCTGATAGCATCGCGTTACAACCAAGGTCTCCCAGAAGGCGAGGATGCCAAATTCAACAGCATGTTTCCTCATCACCAGGGGGAGGAAGGAACAGCTCTGCTCTTCAAATAAAACAAGGAAAGATTTTCCAGACAGAGAAGCTGTCCGTTAGGGGACAAACAAGGTGCTAGTTCTGTCCCGAAGAGGAAGTAGGTCTGGAGCGGGGAGGGAGGGCCGCTGCTGCGACGCGGGGTGGGGGTGTTCGGGATCAGCAGTGGCCCGTGCCCTGGGCCCCTCTGCTTGGGGGAGGCCAGGGCACTCTGAGGTGCCCCCTGCTCCCGGCTCAGCCTCTCACCCCCGCAGGGAGCCGGCCAAGCCCCACGCAGCATCCTCGCCCAGCACGGGACAAAACGCCGCTCCAGGAGACGCTGCCTCATCCCATCAGCTGAGCACCGCTAGGGCCAGGAGAGGAAGGGAGGACGGGGAGGGGGCACCAGCACGTGGCCTGCCGTCCTGGGCTGGCGGCGAGGGAGCAGGCGGCGCTCCGGGTACTGTTTGTCCCACTCCGTTGTGAAAACATGGACCGTCTTCTCGGTTTCATCGACCCTCGGGACGGGCCCGCTCCCAGCAGGACACACAGGCCCCCACTGACCAGGCACCTGCCTGAAGACAAGCCGGTGGCCCAGCGGGACCCTGGCCACACCCCCTCCACCTGGGCCCTGCCTGGCCCCCCGGAGCCCCCTGTAGCGTCCCGGGCAGAGGGAAGGGAGACAGCTGTGGCCAGGGTGGCAGGGAGCTGATGCGGAGGTCGAGGTCGGGGCAGAGCTCAGCCCACAGCCAGGGGCACCTGCGTGACCCCCCGAGAAAAGCAAAGGCCCCCGGCCCCACCGCATGCTCAAGCGCTGCGTCCCACGGAGACGCAGCCAGACCGGGCAAGGCCGTGCCACCCCCTCCTAAGGCTGTTATCTTGACACGAAGGAGCCCCAGCCTCAGGGCAGAGTTTCCCGCCACCCCGCAAGGTGGGTCTCCACCACTTGCAGAGGGGGACCCTGGGCTGGAAGGGCCCAGGCCTTCGGGCACCAGATGCTCAGCTGAGTTGGACCCCGGCTCCCGGAGGCCCCTCTCCACCTTCCCACTCTGCAGCCCATGGATTCAGAAGCACTCAGACAGTCAAAACCGGAGTCTACTGGACGACCACGGTGGGCAAAGAAGACAGACAGGGTGTTCCAGGCGTTGGGGCAGTCGGTCAGGGATGACAAGCACGTGGGTGGGGGTGAGCCGAGTGCTGGGCAGACCCTGCAGTCCCCTCGATCGGCGGCCCCGGGGAAGCCCCTACCCTGCTCAGGCTGCGGGCCCCTCACTGGGCCTCTAAGGCGGCGGGGGGCGGGGTGGGGGGCGAGACGGCTGAGCCTCTGAGCCAGCACTGTTTGAACACGACCCCTATTCATCAGCTGACTCGGTAGAAACGAGGTTCGTGCTGGCCCCAGCCCTGGCCGCACCCCCTATCTCAGCCTTCACAGCTCAATGCCGTGCCTGGGGAAGCGGGCAAGAGGTGGTGAGTGCTCGCAGTGTGTGGGGGGGTTTCTTTGGGGTGATGAAACTTTGGGGGACTCAGCAGAGGTGAGAGGATGCGTTTAAGGCAAACACACAAAGCTCTGACTCCCACACCAGGAGATGATGACCACAGTAAGTTCAGTGACCGCTCGCCATCTCGTATAGATACGAGATCATAGAAAAAGCCTTCTTCTCCCTTGTGAAGAATTTGATATACATAGCACATGGCCTCATGTATAAACCCACAACCACCACATCTTCCCCATCCACTCATGGACGGACGGACACTCCCTGGGGCTCAGCGGTCAAGAGCGCGCCAGCACATGCAGGAGACGCGGGTTTGATCCCTGGGAGGGGAGGATCTCCTGGAGGAGGGCATGGCAGCCCACTCCAGTGTTCTGGCCTGGAGACCCCCATGGACAGAGAGGCCTGGTGGGCTGCAGCCCAGGGGGCCACGGAGAGTCCACACGACTGAAGGGGCTCAGCGCTCACAGTTCATTCTAATGATGATTCAGAGTCCCTTCCGCACCGCGCCCGACTCACGTGTCTCTTCTCTTTCCATTTATAAGTTCCTCCTCTCTCTTCCCTGCAACATATTTGCAAGCCTGGTTCACTAGTTTAAAACTGCCTCCTAAGAGACAAGATGAGACAGGTCCTCAGATAGGAGGTCAGAGGTCACCTTCTTAGGGAACAGAAAGATCCCCAGAGACGGACCGTTTCCTGACAGTCGTGTCCCCTCAACCTTGGCCTCCACGCAGTCAGGATTTTCACCCTGGAGAGTGAAGTGATCGCAGGCCCCTCCGACTGAGGACGGCACCTGGCCCCAGGGCACATAGTACAGAGAAGAGGGTCTGCCCTCAGTGAGCGCAGGAACCACTTCCGGCCGGCGCTGGCTTTCTCTGGGTGATGGCTGCAGATTAGAGAATCTGCCTGCCAGTGCAGGAGACGCGGGTTTGATCCCTGGTCTGGGAAGACCCCACAGGCCTTGGAGCAGCTAAGCCCGTGCGCCCCAACTCCCCAGCCCACGTGGAGCCCCGCTTAGAGCCCACGCTCGTGAGAAGGTCACACACTGCAGCTAGAGAAAAGCCTGCTCAGCAACAGAGGCCCATCCCAGACAAAAATAAATGCACACATAAAATTATTTTGTAAAAAACCTTCCTCCACCACCCAGAGGTAACCACTGCCTCACGTTTTGTTGCATCTGTCGAGACTTTTCTGAGACTACATATACTTAGTATGAGACAGTAAGATCATACTTTACATATGGTTTTGTGACCTGCGTTATTCACTGGAAAGTATTTAATGTCACTGTTTCCAGGTGAGTCAGAGGCACCGTTTTCGGTGGTTCCCTCGTGTTTCTTTAGATGCCTGTGCCACGACTCCCTGGAGCACTCCTGTCTCGCTGGACACCTGGGTTATGTGTGTGTGTGTTTGTTTAACTCGACAGCAATGAGCATTCTCTTACATACATCGTTGAGCACTTGGCTAACTATTTCTTGAAAACAAATTCTTAAAAGAGGAATCAAAGCACCATCCGTCATGCATATTGTTTCAGACTTTCATCCGTACTGTCGAATTGTCCCCCGCAGGACTGCCTTTCAGAGGGTGAGGGCCCTGTGGGGAGACCATCCCAGAGCAGATGGGCGCTGAGCTGACGGTGAAGGATGTTTAAATAAAGAGAGGCAGTGCAGATCAGCAACCTGGCTCCCAACTCCCCAGTGTGTGCCTCCAGGCAAGCTTCTTAGCCTCTCTGAGCCTCTTTCTTCAGCTGTAAATGGAGTTATTACTACCTGCCTCTCATGAAGGTTTAGAGACGACACATACAGAAGCCTGGCATAACTGTGCACTAACCATTTCTTAGTGAAGTAATGGTTGAATGGATGAAGGGATGACTGTAAAAAAGGAAAGAAAAGAAAGGAAGGGGGAGGAGCAAGGTCGTCAGGACGAACGCAAAGGCAAGTGTGTTTGCTGGACGGCCCTCAGCCTGGCCTCTGAGGCAGGGCTAACGCCCTGGAGGAAAGGAAGGGATGCCCGAGAGCATACCAACTTTCTCCATCCCAAACTGTTTCTTTTCTGGGAGCTGGTGCCTGTGAGTAATCTGTTCCTGTGTCACAAACAGGCCCCAAGGCCGGGAGATAAATCGGTCCTACCAGAGGTCAGGTCTCCTGTCCCCACCCCCGGTGGAGACCTTACCTCGACGAGCCTGCCACAATCCGGTGAAGGGCCCCACACTCCCGGCCAGCTCACACTTCTGAGCCCACGGGCCATTGTCCCCTAGAAACCAGGAAAGGCAGCACAGAGTCAGTGGGCTGCGGGACACCGCCAGCCGTGGCCCCACACCCCCATCCTCGCCGCGAGTGGAGACAAGGACTTGTGAAAACAAGTGTGAGGAGACCCTTGGAGGGCCACCTTTTGGGGCGAGGGCGTCTGCCTCCCACAGGCCCGCAGAGACGTGGGCTGCCCCACGCAGGAGTCTGACCTCTGGTTATGGACTCAGCAGTCCCGCTACCAGTGCCTTCAACTCAGCAACTGTTCGCTTTTTCTTTTGTGGCCACACAGCCTGTGGGGCCTGAGTTCCCTGACCAGGGATCGAACCTGCGCCCCTACATTGGGAGCGTGGAGTCCTAACCACTGGGCCACCAGGGAGGTCCCCAGCATCTCCTTCCTGAGGACCTGTGAAGAGCCAGTGCCTCCCACACATCGCTGCCTGACCCTCCAGCCTACGGTGGAAGCGGCTCGACTCTGCCAAGGAGGAAAGAGGGGCTCAGAGGGGCTAAAGGAACTTTCCCAACGCAGAGGTTCAAACACCAATGTCCACAGCCCTCGCTCCAGACAGCGACCCCCGACCCACGGTTCCTGGGTGGGGTGCGGGCGGTGGGGCGGGGCTCCGAGGACTGCCCGGGGCGACACATGCTCACAGCGTCAGTCATGCGTTGACAATTAGGAGCAGTACCCGGGTGACCCTGACCAGCACCCGAGGGGTCGCAGGGGAAGCCAGCTCTCCGTGCAAGCCTGTCCGGGGGTGCGGCCTCAGGGACCCCCCAGACAGGTGCTCAGCACACAGGCCCCTGAGCACCAGCGGGGCCCCACGTTCAGGGCAAGCCCCCTGCCGCGGTGCAGAGGGTCACGGGCTGAGATGCTGCTCCTCTGGGGGCACGTGCAGGGTTACCCATTAGCCCCGAGGGAGGCTGGCTGCGGTTTTCTGTTCACCTGTAAACCAGAGGAACGTGTTGTTTTTCCCCGCGAGGTCAACTGTGTCCTTGATCCGGCCCACGAGACGGTCCATCTCCCGCAGACCCGCGCTGTACGGCCTTAGACTCCTGGGTCCTGCTGACGGCGGCGTCCTGGTCAGGGGCACGTGCATGTGTGCCAGGCCCACGTACAGCAGGAAGGGTCTCCCGCTGGTGCTGAAACGAGAGAGCCGGACGGTGACCACCCAGAAGGGCCCCGGGGCCCAGCGGAGACCCCGGAACCCCCGCAGCCCAGGGAGCACACATCTGTCTACAACCTACAAAGACAACGTGGAAGTGACCTGGCTAGCGGGTTAAAGCCTGTGAGTCAGTGTCATCATCGTAACCGCTCTTCAACACTTACTGCAAACCTGGCCCACCGTGTCTGAACTCACCCTCGTGAGGACGCCCAAGTCCCCGTTTCCAGATGAAGCGTCAGGGGCTCAGGGGGACTGAGAGGCGGGCCCGAGGCTCGTAAGCGACTGCATCCGGGTCCAGACTCAGACCCGGCTGGGAGCAGTGTGCCAGCCCCGAGCTGCTCATGCTAACGCCCAACGCACGCATGCTTTTAGGCTTTCTCTGCTGTCAGAGCATCCAGGCCAGCGCGTCCATTCCCAGCCTCGGGCCTCTCTCGGGGATGAGTGGATGAATCAAGGTGGCCACGGGGAGCCCCAAGGACACAGCCAGGAACGGCCTGCTGGCGTGGGCTGCTCCTCTGCTGCTCCTGCAGGGTCCTCGGGGACTCTGCTTCCCGCCTGCCTCCACCTGCATCCCCGCAGTGGGCAGGGTCAAGGTGGCATGAGGGAGCCTGTGGGGGGACGGGCTTTCGCAGGACACAGCGGGGCGTGGGGAGACCTCCAGCAGGTTCTCAGAGTGACAGAAGTGTGGCTATCTTGTCACCAGTTGGACCATGAAGAAGGCTGAGCACCGAAGAGTTGATGCTTTTGAGATGTGGTTTGGAGAAGACCCTTGAGAGGCCTTGGACTTCAAGGAGACCCAACCAGTCCATCTTAAAGGAAATCAGTCCAAATATTCATTGGAAGGACTCATGCTGAAGCTGAAGGTCCAATACTTTGGCCACCTGGTGTGAAGAACTGACTCCTTAGAAAAGACCCTGATGCTGAGAAAGATTGAAGGCGGGAGGAGAAGGGGACGACAGAGGATAAGATGGCTGGATGGCATCACTGACTCAATGGACATGAGTTTGAGTAAACTCCAGGAGTTGGTGATGGACAGGGAGGCCTGGCGTGCTGCAGTCCATGGGGTCACAAAGAGTCGGACGCGACTGAGCGACTGAACTGAACTGAACCTGGCACTTAACTTTCAAACCGGCCTGAGCTTTCCCGGCTCACCTCGGTTCACACCCGCCCCCCCCCAGCACGTCACGTTCTGTGAGTCCCCCCAGGCTCAGCTCTGCCTCAAACCTGGAGACCCCCTGCATCCCAACTCCCAGGGCCCCCCAATTGGGACTGGGTGGACTCAGCTCTCTCTGAAGGACAGATGTCCTGGATGGGGACCTCCTCGTCCCCATTTTAATCAACAATTTCTTTTTTATACTATGTATAAAACAGATGACTTCCCAGGTGGTGCTAGTAGTAAAGAACCCACTTGCTGATGCAGGAGACGAAAGAGACAGAGGTTCCATCCCTGGGTCGGGAAGATCCCCCAGAGAAAGAAGTAGCAGCACACTCCAGTATTCTTGCCTGGAGAATCCCATGGACAGAGGAGCCGGGCTGCTACAGTCCACGGGGTCGCAAAGAGTAGGACACAATTGAGTGATTAACAAGAGATAAATACTTAAAAAAAAAATAGAGAACTAAGGAGGACCTCCTGTGTAGCCCAGGGAACTCTACTTGACATTCTGTGGTGACCTACATGAGAAGGGAATCCAAAACGGAGAGGAAATGTGCAGAGGTGCAGCTGATTCACTTGTACAGAAGAAAGCGATACAATATCGTAAAGCAATTATGCTCCAAAAAAATTAAATTAAAAAAAAATCAACAATTTTCTTGCTACATTTCTATAGTCTCACTGTCCAATGCCGTAGCCACACCATGTGTGGCTATTTCAATTCATGAAAATGAAATAAAAGAATGCAGTGTCTCACACACAAGGGGTGAGCCTCACAGACATTATGCTACATGGAATGAGCCATCACCAAAGGACAATCGTGGTCAGACTCCACTTAAGAGGAGGGCCCAGGCGCAGTCAGCTTCAGACAGGAAGTAGAACGGTGGTTGTCGGGGGCTGCGGGCAAGGGAAGACAGGGAGCCGGTGTTTCATGGGGACAGGGTTTCAGTCTGGGAAGACGAAAAGTTTCTAGAGGTGTATGGATGACCCTGGGCCATTCACTTAACCTCAGTCGTCAGCGCAGTGGGGACTGCAAGCCTCCCCAGCCGCGCTGTGACTATTAACTGCCCAGAGTAAGCGCTGAATAAACGGAAGCCTTTAAGATCCCCCAGAGAAGGAAATGGCAACCCACTCCAGTATTCTTGCCCGGAGAATCCTATGGACAGAGGAGCCTGGCGGGCTACAGCCCTTGGGGTCACAAAGAGTTAGATGTGACTTAGCGTCTGAACAACAAAGAACATCACTTACATGGGGAATCTAAAATATGACACAAATGAACTTATCTAAGGATCAGAAAGAGATTCACAGAGAACAGACGTGTTGCTGCCCAGGCTGGTGGGGCTGGGGGTGGAGAAGGAGGACTGGGATTTGGGGATTAGCAGATACAAATTATTGTAAGTAGGTGGATGAACAAGAAGGTCCTACCGTAGAGCTATGACTATACGGTTCCGTATGACTACAGGGAACTGCAGTCAGTACCCTGTGATAAACGAGAATGGAAAGGAATATAAAAAAGAAAGTATAATGGAGTCACTTTGCTACACAGCTATTAACACAACACTGTAAGTTAACTATGCTTTCATTTAAAAACAACAAGAGAAAAGAATCAGCCTTCAGCATTCCTGCTAGGTCAGGAATCTAAATTCAAGCAAAGACCCAAGGAAAAATGTTCAAAGTCCTGGGGTGAGACCCTTGCTGAGCACGGGCAGGAAACCACAGTCCAGGGACCCCCCAGTGGTTTTGACAAACAAGTCCAGGTGGGGTCAGGGGTCACGGAGGAGAAAGGAACACAGATGGGGCCTCGTGTGTGCTGACTCTTCAGAAACCACGGGCGACCTGGCAGGTCAAGTCCTACAGAGACCAGGTGCCTGAGGATTACTCTCCACCAAGTTAAAAGCCAACAGGATTCATGTGACTTTTCACTCAATAACGAATTAATAAACTCACAAATGCTTCGCCTCTTTCCTACAACAAAGAGTTTGTTCACTGACGTGCTTGCCTTTCAACTGGTCAGTTAACTGGTTTGAACAGCACCACTTCCTGTTCGGGGCATCCGTCAACCCCCAGCTAGCTGCTACTCCCCCAAACGCCCCCCCAGGAGCACGGAGGCCCCACTGCGAACGCGGCAGGGGACGGGCCCCGCCAGCCATGGACTGGGCGCCCGCCCCAGGGCACCGTGAAGCCAAGACAGCCCCCAGTGAGAGAAGGGATTTTCCCTCTTCAAACCAGCCATCTGGAAGATACAGAAACAAGCAGACCAGTGAAAAGGCCTGAAAAACTCGTAAGATGCCACCTCTAAAGCTTAAGGTGCTGCCCTCAGAATCTGGATCTCGGGCAGGTCGTGTGATCAAGTGGAAAGGGACCCACTTAATACCGGCCCCCAAAAACACCCAGGGTCTAATTCCTGGAATCTCTGTTACCTTGTACGACCAAGGGCACTTTGTAGATGCAATGAAGCTAAGGGTCTTGACATCAGAGGCTTTTCTTGGACTGTCTTAGTAGACCCTAAGTGTGAACGTGTTAGTCGCTTCAGTCGTGTCTGACTCTTTGCGACCCCATGGACTGCAGCCCGCCAGGCTCCTCTGTCCTTGGGATTCTCCAGGCAAGAGCACTGGAGTGGGTGGCCATTCCCTTCTCCAGGGGATCGTCCTGATGCAGGGATCGAAACCAGGCCTCTCATTGCAGGCAGATTGTTATTGTCTAAGCCGCCAGAGAAGCCCAGGAGACCCTAAACGTGACCACAAATGTCCTTCTAAGGGGGAGGCAGGGGGAGGCTCTTGGCTACAGAAGAATAAGGGCAAGAAGACCACAGGAGCAGAGAGCAGAGTGAAGTGGCCAGGGAGCTCCCTGGTGGCCCAGTGGTCAGCACGCCACACTTCCACTGCCCAGGGTCCGGGTTCCATCCCTAGTGGGGGAACTAAGACCCTGCCAGCCCTTGGTGTGGCCAAAAAAACAGAATGACGCAACCACAGCCAAGAAATGTCAACAGTCACCAGAAGCTGGGAGACACAAGAAACGATTCTTGGGACTTCCCTGTGGTCCAGGCGCTAAGACTCCACCCTCCCAATGCAGGGGGCCCAGGTTCAATCGCGGGTCAGGGAGCTAGATCCCACACTGCAAGTAAGCCTGGCACAGCCAAAAAAATAAATGAATATTTTTTAATAAAAGAAAAAGAAACGATTCTCCCTGGAGACTTGAGAAGGAAACAGCCCTGCTGATATCTGGACTTGAGCCCCCATGAGACGCATTTCAGACGTCTGGTCTCCAGATCTGTAGGAGAATAAAGTGCTGTTGTTTCAGTCAATAGGTTGGGGGTAAGTCTGTGATAGCAGCGAATGTGCCGTGCCAGCTAAGGAGCCCAAGAAACACTCTGAACGCACGGAAGCCAGCAGATGGGCCCCGGCCTCGAGGCGGGACGCGCCACAGAGAGGACACGTGACCATGACTAGGGCGTGCTCTGAGCAGGACCCCGGGAATGGACCTGCACCTACGGCCTGGGAACCCAGGCCTGGAGCCCCAAGACAGGCTGTTTTCCAGCTTTATTTGTTGCAGTTCAGTCGCTCAGTCGTGTCCAACTCTTTGCCACCCCAGGGACTGCAGCACACCAGCCTTCCCGGTCCTTCACCAACTCCCGGAATCTTCTCAAACTCCTGTCCACTGAGTCGGTGACGCCATCCAAGCATCTCATCCTCTGTCGCCCCCTTCCCCTCCTGCCCCCAGTCTTTCCGAGCATCAGGGTCTTTTCCAAGGAGCATCTCTTCCAGGAGACGTACGTGCATCTTTGTTGGGCAGTGGAACTCTGTCACGGCTCTGAGCCCAGCTGGGCCAGGGGACACGGGGGTGGGCGCCGGGCTCCTCACCTTGCCTGCCGGATGAACTGTGTGGCCTTCTCGGCGTACTTCTGTGCAAGGGCGCTCAAGTTCACGGGCTGCTCCACTATGTTGAGGTTTTCGTACAGAGGAAGGGCCACGTCAGAGTAGCAGTCCCGCTCAAGGTTCCTGTGTGGAAACCACAGATGGTAGAACACTCATTCCCACGACCCGGGTAGTCATAGAGTTGGACAAAACGCCGTGATGCGGCGATGCACATAAATACAAAACACCGAGCAGCCTGGCCCAGATGGTTTTTCCAGCCTCCCACTTCCTCTGAGTGTAAAGCTGATACAATACCTCCTTCCACTCCCTTCCAGCAGAAATGTGCGCTTCTTGGGCAGGCCCGGCCGCTGTATGAGGCTCCCAATGACTTTTTTGAGCTAGGGTGTTATTATTCCTATTTTGCTGGGAGAGAAACTGAGGTCTAAACAAACTGAGATACTCAAGCAGAGTCCCAGAGCCAATCAGTAGCCTGCCTTTTCCCATTGACCCCACCCTCTCAACTCAGGGGGACCCAGGAGGACTCTCCAGTTTCCCGTCACGGCCCCACTGTGACCTGGGCCACGAGGTAAGCGCTGTCCCTGGACAATCAGGAGAAACACTTGCCTTGGTCCATGGTCACACAGACGACAGATCAGCACGCAGGGAGCTTAGATGGTAACAGTGTCTCAATAAATGGCCGTTATTACACTAACTACTGTGTTATTAATAAGCCATCTGAGACTCACTTGCCCCAAGCAGCCCAGACGCCTGCGAACCTTGCAAATAACCGTGGTGCACGCTCTGAACAAGCAGGGCACCTGGCTTTATCACCTGATTACGATATATCGCCTTTTTCTGATAGGAAACGTACTGCGTGCTGATTACAGAATATTGGAAAAATACAATGAGAGAGAAAAAAAATGAAAACTTCTTAATGGCACAACAGGACTGAATGAACCATGGTCGCCATTCTGGCGTATTTCCTTTGGGGCTATTAGAGGTGTAAATACAGACGCAGTTCAGATCTGTGTTGATGATTTGTTTCCTGCTTTTTTCACTTACTATTCTATTGTGAGCACTTCCCCATTTCACTGAATACGTTTTGAAAGCATCCTGTTGAGTGCCTGCGCGGCATTCCAAGGCTGGGACGCCGCCTTATTGCGGGCGGGGGTGGGGCGCACCAGGAGCCCTATGCACTTTTCCTGTCTCCCTCCTTCCGTCCCCTGGCGGGATAGGTGCGTGGTCCAGGACAAGAGAGGGGAGGCCACCCGCGTGAGACCTGGTAGCACCCCCTCCCCCCAACTGAGCTCAACAGTCCAAGGAAACTGGAAAATTCCAATTAAAAAAGTGCTGTCCCCTCATCTCCACAGAAAGTGTTCTTGCCTGCCACGCACACAATGCATCTAAGATTTGCACTAAAGGTATACGACCTTTCTTTGCTGCGGTTACTGGTCCTTCGTGGCCTCTCTGTCTCCTCTGGATGGACCACACCCCCGGGACTTCCCCTTGCTCTGAAGCCCAGAGCCGACACCTTGGCCAGAATTACCTGGATGGTCTGTCGCCCCGGGGACACGCCGGGCAGGGGGGGTGGTTGTAGCCAGGGGTGTCAGTGCAGCCCATGTCGTGGCTGTAGGGGACCCCAAAGTAGTAGTCAAAGCCTGGAACAGAAGCACCGGTTAGACTGCGGGCCTGCGTGCTTACACCCAGGACAGAAATTTAATTTTCCATGATTTAACTCTGCAGTGTTATGAGTGTGTAATTAAAAGAGGATTTGATGAATATCCCTCAGTAAGTATGCAAGGAAAACATGTTGCTGGCTCCTGGCCGGCCGCAAGACTAGGTTTGCAAAACATCTTGTGATTAGAGTTAACCCGGAGGGGAAGGAAGCAGGGAGAATTCCTGCCCTCCTACCGTGCCCAATGCTGTCCTGGACACAGCAGGAAATGTCTGGGGCAAATCTACTCCCTGCACGACACTTTGAGGGACAAAAGAAGACATTCTGCCCTCAAGAAACTTCCCATCTGAAGAGGAGATAAGAAATAGAGATTCAGCTTGAAGAGCAAGCTTCCCAGGAAGCCAGCAGGAGACATCAGAGGAAGGCACCCCAGGATGCTGCGGGGTGGGGTGGGGCTGGGGTTGAGATGGGAATCTCAAAATGCTTCTCAAAATAGCTGGCGTCTCAGCTGGATGCTGAGGGCTGGCAGGATTGGACTTGGGACCGGGAGAGGACGTGAGGGTCAAAGTGAGACCTGAAAACCCCGAGTTGACTTTTTCTGAGACCCCTTCACTCACCCTATACCTTCTGCAGCACAAGCTTCAGTGTGATGTTTTCACAGAACTTCCCTACCCACCCCCCAGTCCCTGCTTCAGCGAACCCCTCAGACAGTCTGACCTCTCACCACACGGGACCTCCCGGGGGCCACTGTTCCCCGACATGGGAGAACGGGGTCAAGGAAAATGCTGATGGCCTTGCGATGAGGGGGCCCGAGGGGAGACAGAGGGGGGTCAGGACAAGGGCCAGGCAAGAGGCACGTGAGAGGAGCGGCACCCGGGTGCCCCAGCCCCCCCAAGCGACCCTGTGAATGAGGATGTCCTGACTCAGGAGAGAGGCGGCCCAGGACCCGGACGGCTTGAACCCGATGAGTCTTTTCACACAGGCACCTCTGTTTCCCAGGTAACCGGTCCCCGGGGAATCCTTACCACGGAAGCCGGGGTGGTGAGAGCCATGGTGCCCAAGATGCCACTTCCCTGCAGGAAGACGAGAGGGAGGCTCTCAGAGGAGTTCCCGAGCGGCCCAGCCTGCGGGGCGCTGAGCACACGCTGGGGTCTCCTCCCTGAGGCGGGCAGAGAGGCTGCGCGCTGCGCCCACCCCCAGTGAGGGTGGAGAGCCCACGGCAGCACCCCCCGTCACGGGCCGCTCTGGCCCCGTGCTGGGGACCTTGCCAAGGACCGGGGAGCAGGTGCAGCGCCCACGTGGCCCCAGAGATGCTGCTCGCACCTGGTTTCATCACCTTCCTCCCTGGCCAGCAGCAGCCGCCTACCCGGGGCCCGCCCCCCACGGCCCTGCAGCCGGCAGGCAGATCGGAAAAGTCAGCCGCACCGCACTGCGCTCCCGCCTGTGAGCGTGCTGGGAGGGGCGGGGGGGAGGGGGGCGGTGCGGACGCGTGGCAAGCCCGGGACTCGCTGCCCTGCCTGCCCTGCTGTGACGAACCCAGGCGGCGAGGGGACGAAGAGAAGGTGCGGTGCGGAGACCGAAACGGCAGAGTGTGAAGCAGCATGAAGGGTGGAAATGAACAGGCAACCGCAGGAGTCTGGCTCAGTACATGCTCTCACTTGGCCTCCATGAAATGCTTCCGACCCATCTTCTTTAGACGAATGCATGCAGCCCAAATAAAGACCTGCTGCCTCTACAGAAAGTGTGTATGAGCGGGGGTGGGGGCAGTGCTTGGGGAGTCCCTTCTAGCAACTGGTCTAAAGGTTTGGAGAAAATTATGTAATAAGAAGTTAAGGGAAGTGGATTAAGCATTAGATGGACTACTTAGGTTCAGTATGATGTCGAAATATAGACATAGTACAATTTTAAAATTCTTTCTAAAATGATAGTAAAAATGTAAAATTACACCACCAGGAAATGTAAAATAATAGGAAGGGCAGAAAAGTAGGACAAAGAGGTAGGTATACAACTAAGGAAAAACCCATTAACACAGATCAAGGTTAGAAGCAAACAGGGGCTTCCCTGGTCGTCCAGTGGCTAAGACTCTGAGCTCCCAATGCAGGGCGCTCAAGGTCATCCCTGGTCAGGGAACTAAGATGTCACAGGCCACAGCTAAGAGTCTGCATGCCACAACTAAAGATCTTGCATGCTGCAACTAAGACCCCACACAGGCGAAAAAAAAAAGTAAAAAGATTATAAGCAAGGAGATCGTGGTGTCAGTGGACTCAATATTCCTTCGGCAGGCTTTTAATTTTCCCTGTAAGTGTGCTTCTGGGGAAAGTCATAGTCTCAACAAGGAGACATGCTTTGGTATCTTGTCCCAGAAAAAAACAGAAGAAGGTATAGTGAGCGGTGAACAGTTGATCTGTAATCAGTTGCCTTCTTGGGGTTGAAAGGCATGAAGAGGGAGGGGCAAGTGCGATTGAATCCAGCTTGAGAAGAACCCACGCCACCCCCCCCACCCCCGTCTTAGGGTCAGCTGGCTCAGGGACCAAAGCCCCTCCCCGGGCTAGGAGTCACGCAGATGCAAGGACCCACTCCGAGGATGCTCAGCCCACACTGAGAGCCTCACCGGGATCCGGGCCTCCAGGCGTGGAGACAAGGGGCCGAAGGGAGAGCAGGTTGGAACCTTAAGGGTCCCGCCTCCTGCGGACTGGGGCTCATCCTCACGGACAGTGAAGACCCCCACTCTAGTCTGATGGTCTGAAGCATGTGTCAGGCTCCTTGACCCAGAGCAGGGGTCGAGCCGACACACAGAAACTCCTGCTTCCTGCAGGCCCCAAGGGCATCCTCACGGGACCCTTGTTGCCACGTCACTGTGCGGAGGAGGGGAGGGCGGCGGGAATCCTGCGCGACCCGCTCTCGGAGAGTTAGGAGAAAAAGCAGAGGCGTTAACACACGGTAATTGTTTTTCTCTTTCTGACTTCACTCTGTACAGAGAAGAAATGGAGAGCTCAGCTCAGCTCCTGCCCTGCTGACCCCGAGGGCCAGGATGGGGGTGGGGGGCTCAAGAGGGAGGGGGCATGTGTGCAAGTGTGACTGACTCCAGGCCACGTACGGCGGAGGCCTCCACCGCATTGTAAAGCGATTGTCCTCCAATTAAAAAAAAGCGCAGGTGGACCGAGGATGCCCCTGGGATGCTGGGTTGCCTTGGCCGCTGTAGGAAGGGGCAGGAGGAACTAGTTCTGAGGGAGGTTTAGTCCACTGTTGTGCTCAGCCGCTAACTCATGTACAACTCTTTGCAACCCCGTGGACTGTAGCCCACCAGGCTCCTCTGTCCATGCGATTCTCCAGGCAAGACCACTGCAGTGGGCTCCCCTTTCTTCCTCCATGAGATCCTCCCGACCCAGGGATCAAACCCCAACCTCCTGGGTCTCCTGCACTGGCAGGTGGATTTTTATCACTAGCACCACCTGGGAAGCCTGAGTCTACTGTTAGGTCTTTCCAATTGTTGATACTGAGAGCTGAAAGCATTTCTAGTTTCCACAGCAAGAAATGAACACACAAGTGGACTTGAGCAGAAGAGGTGGCTCAGCAGACGAAGGAAGCAGCCACCACAGCAAGCGCAAGGGACGGGGTCCAGGCGGCGGAGGTCATGTTACCAATCATCCCCGTGACGTAGCCAGCCCCCCGCAGCACTTCGGCCAAGGTGGTCTCGTTGAGTGGAAGGCCCCCCACGGACGTGACTGCAAAGTTGTGAGTGACTCCATTGCGGAGGCCCAGCCGGCCGGTGAGCAGGGCCGCCCGGGAGGGTGAGCAGGTGGAGGCCGCCGCGTGGAAATCCACGAACCTGGGGGAGAGAAGAGTGATGGGGGGGTCCAGACATGAACAACAGCAGTCACCTGGGGCCCAGTGCTGGGGAGGCGCGCCAAGATATCCAGGTGTGGGGCAGGTAAACAATAAACCTAGACAGCATATTAAAAAGCAGAGACATCACGTTGCCAACAAAGGTCCATCTAGTCAAGGCTATGGTTTTTCCAATAGTCATGTATGGATGTGAGAGTTGGACCATAAAGAAAGCTGAGCACTGAAGAACTGATGCTTTCAAAATGTGGTGTTGGAGAAAACTCTTGAGAGTCCCATGGACTGCAAGGAGATCAAACCAGTCAATCCTAAAGGAAATCAACCCTGAATATTCATTGGAAGGACTGACACTGAAGCTTAAGCTCCAATACTTTGGCCACCTGATGTGAAGAGCTGACTGCTTGGAAAAGACTCTGATGCTGGGAAAGATTGAAGGCGGGAGGAGAAGGGGGAAACGGAGGATGGGATGGTTGGATGGCATCACCAACCCAATGGACATGAATTTGAGCAAACTCCAGGAGACAGAGGAGGACAAAGGAGCCTGGTGTGCTGCAGTGCATAGGGTCGCAGAGACTTAGCAATTGGGACACGACTTAGCAATTGAACAACAACAAAGAAAATGAAGCCCACTGGTATTTTCCTGGTGGTCCAGGGGTTAAGATTCCTTAACTTCCATTGCAAGCAACATGGGTTCAATCCCTGGTTGGGGAACTAAGACTCTACAAGCCTTGCAATGTGACCCACCCGAAAAAGAAAATGAAGCCCACAGAGATAACGCAACTAATCCAAGGTCACATAGCTAACTGAACTAGATTTAATCCAACATATTGAATGGACTGCATATCCCCTTTATCTGCAGATTGTATATTTTGAATTCACCTACTCAAAGTACCTGTAACCCCAAAATCAATACTCATGGCTCTCACACGCCAAGCAAGTGTCTTCCTTGTCACAGGCAATTCAGTGCCATGGTTTTTCAACGGTTTTCTTTCTGTTGATGATTTTACTGCTTAAAACAATCCCAAGCTCAATACTCAAGGTCTGGCCAGCATGTCTAAGCTTGAGAAGGCTGTGATGGGCCTTATGGAGAAAATGCATGTGTCAGACAAGCTTCATTCACAATAAGCATGGTGCTGTTGACCTTCAGTTCAATGTCAATGAATCAAATATGTATTAAATAAGTCACCCAGTCATGTCCGACTCTGCAATCTCATGGACTATAGCCTCCATGGAGAAAGAGCCAGGCTCCTCTGTCCATGGGATTCTCCAGGCAAGAATACTGGAGTTGGCTGCCCTGCCCGTTCTCAGGGGATCTTCCCAACCCAGGGATTGAACCCAGGTCTCCCGCACTGCAGGCGGATTCTTCACCATCTGAGTCACCAGGGAAGCTGAGCCACACCACCACAGATGGTAAAGAATCCGCCTGCACTGCACGAGACCCGGGTTCCATCCCTGGGTCGGGAAGATCCCCTGATAAAGGGCATGGTAACCCACTCCAGTGTTCCACGCCACCACAGATGGTAAAGAATCCGCCTGCACTGCACGAGACCCGGGTTCCATCCCTGGGTCGGGAAGATCCCCTGATAAAGGGCAGGGCAGCCAACTCTAGTATTCTTGCCTGGAGAATCCCGTGGACAGAGGAGCCTGGTGGGCTCCATGGGGTCAGAAAGAGTCAGATACGACTGAATGACTTTGACGCACATATTAAATGAGATGTCTTTAAACAGAAACACAGGTAAAACCAGGTTCCGTACCGATGAGGTGATGAAAGTGTTGTCTGCCATGTGAGAAATTAAGTACCCCAAAGCTGCCTGGATGGTCATAGCTGCTGCGGTCCACGACGCCAGGTGAGGTCATCGGCGTCTAAGCATCACGAGTTCGAGCAAGGCCACCTGGACCTCCCAGCCCAGCTGTCTGCCTGCTGAATCTCCCCAGAGTGGCCTCAGTCAACCCAAGGTGGAAAAGAACTGCACACTCAAGAGATGCCTGGATGTCTGACCCCTGGCATCACGAGCTACAATCAAGTGGTGGCTGTCGCGAGCTGCTGACTTTGAGGACGGCTGACTCAGCAGGTCAGCACCAGGGCAGAGATGGTGGGACAGCGGCCCTCCCACTCTGGCCCCCAGTCCGGCACACGGTGGGCACCACCCAGCGCATGCAGAGTGGGCGATGTCCCTGCCCTCTCTGCTCCTGTGAACACGGTGAGTCTTGCTAAAGAGACCAGGCCTCGGCCCTGGAAAATGGGGGAATTCCCGGACACCAGATTTCACGGGGGCACACGGCCAAGGAGCAGCAGCCCCCGGGGGCAGAGACGTGCCCCGTGAGGCCCCAGCCGCGCCGTCTGAAAGCACGGGCCTGGGCCTGCGCCCATGCTCTTCAAGCAGGCAGGCGATGCCTCCACCTGGCGGAGTGAGGGCAGGGGCGCCCACATCGTGGGGTCCGTGTGTGCTGGGTGCGGCCGCGCTCTGCTCCCGGGGAGTTCGGGGCCCCGGCTCTGCCTTCACACCCAACCAGCACTTCCTCCTGACCCTCCATCCCTTGGGGTTGGAAGAAGCCTCCCTGCCCTCCCTTGATCGCTGGGCTCCCAGCCGGTTCCCAGGCACCAGCTTCTCTCAGAGCATCGCCACCTGCCTGCGGGTCGTGGCTGGACCTGCTCGGGACACCCACAGCCACCGGGAGGCAGAGAGGTGAGGAGGGGCATCCTCTAGACCTTCAGAGGGGGCGAGGCCCTGCCAGCACTTTCACCCCTAGCTTCCAGCCTCCTGAACCACGAGACAAGGCATTTCTGGTGTTTTAAGCCACTCAGTTTGAGGGGCTTGGTTACCGTGGCTCCTGTCAATGAACACACCACGCTACAGATCCCCAAAGATCCCCCAACAGGACGGGGTCCTGGAGCACCTCTCAGCCCCGCCTCTGCCATCCCCCACCGCAGGCATCTTGCCGGCCGACACCTCCCTCGGCTGGAGCTCAGCTTGCACAACCGGACTCTTTCCACCCTTCCGAGTTCTGACCTAAACTTCAAAGCCTACCACTGTCACAAAAGCCAGTGAGAGTCGCTCAGTCCTGTCCCACTCTTTGGGACCCCATGGACACCAGGCTGCTCTGTCCATGGGATTCTCCAGGCAAGAACACTGGAGTGGGTTACCAGTCCCTTCTCCAGGGGAACTTCCCGACCCAGGGATCGAACCCACATCTCCTGCGCTGGTAGACAGATTCTTCACCACTGAGCCACCAGGGAAGCCCTATCTCAGAAGCTCTTATTCCCCAGAAGGATGATCCTGACTTTGACTTCTGGGCTTGTGAAGCTTCCTGGCGCCTGAAAGCAGACATTCGTCTGACAGCACCTGGGCACTTGCTAACGGGGGTTCCCTGGGGCTGTGGACTCCTGCTCCCTGCCCCCACACCCACCTACCCAGACTTGGGCCCAGCAGAGCCGCACAGACCCCTCCCTAACGGCTGGGCCACGACCCATGACCCGAGCATGGCGATTCAGAACCCAAACCTGGAATCTCCTTCTCTTTTCCTTTTTTCCCCAAATTCTTTTTCTTAATATAGTTTTGTTCAGACATAATCTTCTCCTTGTGTGTATTTTACTTATTTACGTTGGGCACTGCGGGGTCTTCATTGCTGCGCCAGCTTTTTCTCTAGCTGCAGGGGGAGGGCTTCTCCCTGGGTGGCTTTCCTGTGGAGCGCAGACTCTTGGGCGCACGGGCTTCAGTAATTTTGCCCCCGGGATGGAGAGCTCATGCTCAGTAGTTGGGGCACACAGGCTGAGTTGCTCTGAAGCATGTGGGATCTTCCTGGACCAGGGATCGAACCCGTGTCTCCTGCATCAGCAGGTGGATTCTTTACCACTGAGCCACCAGGAAAGCCCCCCAAACCTGGAATTTTCCGACCCAGAGAGAGAGGACTAGCTCTTTCTTCCCCGAGTCTCAAGCTACAGTGACATAAACCCAGAAGGGCAGGGCCTCAGTACCCACTGTAACCAGGAGCCTGAAATATTGGCCTAACCAGCCCAGAAGGCCAAACCAGAGAGGAGGTCTCTCCAGAGTCGGGTTCACGAGCCGCAGCGGCGCCCCTTCTGGGCTGGGGCTGCGGGAGTCCCGGCTGTCACACGGCGATGAGCCGGAGCGGGGCCTGGAGAACAGCACCTAACAGCAGAAGGTCGGTCACTGCCCTCAGGCCGCAGGTGGTTCCGACTCAGAGGTGGGTAATTCCAGCAAGTGCTCCTCAAATATGGGCCATGGAAGCTGAGACGAGGGTGTAATATGTCGCCTGTTCGCCTCGTCTCTGAGTGTTTTTCAGATAGGGCCATTTGTGCCACGTTTCAGATTCCACGTGTGTGTGTGTGTTCGTGCGCGCGTGTGCGCATGTGTGTGCGTGTGCGCGCATGCACGTGTGTGCACGCGTGCGTGTGTGCGTGCGTGCCTGCACGTGTGTGAGAGCGTGCGTGTGTGCATGCATGCGTGTGAGTGTGTGTGTGTGCGTGCATGCATGTACGTGCATGCGCATGTGTGTGCACGGGCGCACGTGTGTGTGCGTGCATGCGCGCGCGTGCACGTGTGTGTAAGCATGTGTGCTGCACACTTGTGTGCTTGTGCATGTGTGTGCATACACGTGTGTGCATGCGTGTGCGTGCGCATGCATGCATGTGTGCATGCGCGCTAAGTCGTGTCCAGCTCGTCAACTACTGTTGGTTCTCAGTCGCATTTGACTCTGCGCGACCCCGTGAACCATGACCCACCAGGCTTCTGTCCATGGGATTCTCCAGGCAGAAATACTGGAGTGGGTAGCCAGTCATTCCCTTCTCCAGGGGATCTTCCCCACCCAGGAATCAAGCCCAGGTCTCCTGCATTGCAGGAAGAGTCTTTATCGTCTGAGCCTCCAGGGAAGCCCACTTAAAAAATAAGAATAATCCACTGACTTGATGTATGTTTGCCTTATGACTCTAGGAAGAGCCTCCATGGGACGCCCCTGGTGACCGAG